AGGGCCTCATGCATGTATGGCAAGAGCTCTACCACTGAGCCACTTTTCCAGCCGCACCACTTCTCTTTTTCTAGTGGAGATCTTAAGAGTCTCATGGACTTTCCTGCCCAGGCTGGCTTTGAACCACACTGGTAACTCACAACTGAATTCCACTTTTTCATCTATAAATGGTCATTCGACCTACCTTGAAGAGTTGTCTGACATGAAAAACACTGGATAGGCACACCATAAGCACAAGTTCCTCCTAAGTCTCTGTGTGGGTTATTTTTTCATGGTTTTCTCTAAGCATTTGTCTCTGACCTATTCTCATTTCTTCTTTTCCTTTCAAAAAATGTCGAGGCATTAAAATGAATCTTATAAAATGGCCTGAAGCGGATCATTTGGGTTCTACAAAATGGGCAATTTGACATGGTTCAACCTAATATAAAGCTTAAGCCTAGCTGAGCAAGTGGGTCCCTACCCCATGCACCTCTAGCTTCTCCAGGAACACGTTGCCACCCAAAGAGAGGGAAAAGGAGAGGTGTTGGCACTCTTGTGCACCAGCTCCCCTGACAGAGTAGCCTGTATTGAGGTCAGAAGAGGTCTGTGAGTTCCATTTGTAAGCTTGCAGTGCTTTGCCTCCCTCCCTCCCCACTGTTCCCCTCCACTCCCAGTAAGTGGGGCCAGACTGACGGACTTTCAAGGTTCCCTGTAGTCTGCCTCAACGTACTTGTGGAGTTTTATCTGTAGTCATGTGTCTCTACACCCCCTTAGCCCAATTATTTTTATTTTTTATTTTTGGAGGGGGTCCTGTCGTGAGGCCTGAATTCTGGGCCAGGGCTCTGTCCCTCAGCTCTTCAGCTCAAGGTTAGCACGCTACCACTTGAACCACAGCGCCACTTCCGGCTTTTTTCTTTTTGCTTATGGGGTGCTGAGGAATCGAACCCAGGGCTTCAGGTATGCAAGGCAAGCGCTCTACCACTGAGCCACCTTATAATTTCAACAAATTCTGAGAATTTTTTTAAAACTTCAATATCCATGCAAGTGCTGCCTCAAATTCTTCTCCCTTTTCTCCACTAGATGTAATTCTTTATCAGCTTACTGAGAGCCCTCTTCACCATCCCAGTCCTTACTCTTGGGGGGGGGGGGGGGAGGTGGGAGGGTGTCAAATACTGAGTGTGCTCTGTGAACTCTTAGCACTCCCTGATAAGGTACTTCACATTCTATACAATGTTTTGAATGTTTTGGTTTTGTTGTCCCTACACTAGCCTTAGGCACTAATCCAAGGCAGGTTTGCTTTTTTCCTGTTTATACTCAGTGCCTACTCCACTACATGGCACTCACTAGTCAATAATCACCTTTCCATGTGAAAGATAATTTCACATTAAATAATACTTCAGCAGAAATCTCAGCTCCTCTAATGACCAAGTGGCTTTAAGCAAATTACTGAAATTTAGTCTCTTCTTTGAAATAAGAATGTACAAATTGGGTCTGGGAAGGTGGCTCAGTGGTAGAGCGCTTGCCTTGCATGCCTGAGGCCCTGGGTTCGATTCCTCAGCACCACATAAGAAAAAAGCCGTAAGTGGCACTGTGGCTCAAGTGGTAGAGCGCTAACCTTGAGCTGAAGAGCTGAGGGACAGCGCCCAGGCCCAGAGTTCAGGCCCCACGACTGGACCCCCCCCCCCAAAAAAAAGAATGTACAAATTACCTTCTCAAATACCTATAAGGATTAAGCAATATAATTCATCCAGGTTGCTTCAGTTCAATGATAAATAGTATGGGCTCAATAAAGAGCAATCAGGGTTAAATTAGCTTCTATGTTCTGGTTCTTTGTAAGCCTTTAAGAGGAAGGATATGTCCTTTCAAGCCAGCAGTGTGTTTCATTTTGAAGAAAAAAATTTGTACTTAAGAGCATAATCTTTCTAAATGTGTAAAAAATAGTTTACAAAATTGCCTAAGGTAAGAAAATCCTTGCTTTAAAATGTTTTATTACAATGCTCCAAGTAATATATTTTTATCTAATTTGTGTGTAATTCTTGGTACCACTGAGCTCAATGAGTGAGAAAAATACTGTATTATAATCTATTTTAAGAAGTATTCATAATAATATCTATACATCATTAATTAAACACAGGGAAATATGGAAGTGTAAGGTATATTTTAACAATTTCCTTTTAAAATGTAAAGAAAAAAAATTTTTTTTTTGGGTCCGGTCGTGGGGCCGGAACTCTGGGCCTGGGCGCTGTCCCTCAGCTCTTCAGCTCAAGGCTAGCACGCTACCACTTACTTGAGCCATAGCACTACTTCCGGCTTTTTTTTTTTCTGCTTATGTAGGGCTGAGGAATCGAACCCAGGGCCTCAGGCATGCAAGGCAAGCACTCTACCACTAAGCCACCTTCCCAGACCAATGAAGTTTTTTTTTTTTTTTTGGTCAGTCGTGGGGCTTGAACTCTGGGCCTGGGCGCTGTCCCTCAGCTCTTCAGCTCAAGGCTAGCGCTCTACTACTTGAGCCACAGCACCACTTCTGGCTTCTTTTTGCTTATGTGGTGCTGAGGAATCGAACCCAGGGCCTCAGGCATGCAAGGCAAGCGCTCTACCACTGAGCCACCTTCCCAGCCCAATGAAGATTTTTTTTTTTTTTTTTTTTTGGGTCAGTTGTGGGGCTTGAACTCTGGGCCTGGGCGCTGTCCCTCAGCTCTTCAGTTCAGGGCAAGTGCTCTACCACTTGAGCTACAGCGCCACTTCCAAGAAAAATATAAATTAAGTATTTCCACAAGATTGGTGTACTCTTACAAAAATGCCCTATGTATTCATATGCATAATCAGCTTAGATTTTAAAAAAGAAAAAGTAAATTACAAGAAAATATACTAATAAAAACTGAAAACATTCTGTTAGTATATAGATCATACCATCTGTTATGACTTTTACATTGACTTGAGACCTTTGGTCTATTAGCATATTGTGCAACATTTGACATATTGTTTTTCTAAATCCTGTCAGCTTAGAAGATGGAATGTGATCTCAGCTATTAGGAAAAATAAAACTTGGTTGGTTTAATTAACTTGAATCATACTGCTCATATGGAATGAATACAAAAGTTAGCATTGGTAAATAATGAGCTACATTGTTGCCAATCTAATGCAAAATAAAATCAGACCCTTCCCCCTGCACAATCTTCATACTACGTTATTCTAACATGGATTGGCTTAGTGTTTTAACTACGGGGCCCTAAAGTCATCTATCAAAATGGTAAATTGTGCTACCTACTTTATTTCCATAATGATATATTTCCATCCCGATTCAATTCAATTAAATAAAAGAAAAACCCTCAGGATTTATGACAACATCTGAGATTGATAATGAAGATATGGAAGATAAAGATAGCAAATTTAGGAAGACTTCAAAGGCACAGTAGGATCTCTGGTAAATCTTGTGTATTCTAGGTTACATAACTGAAATTTGGCGTTTGTTTTAGAATAGTAACAATAACATCGAAGTGGCTTTTCATCGAGTAGCTTTTTTTTTGGACTTAAAAAAATAGAAGCAATGGAATAACATCTTTGCTCTTGAATGCTTAACTGGATGGAGGTAAGAGAACGAAGACGCTTCCTTATGGAAAGAGGTGGCGGAGTTTGGCATTGAGTTCTCTCTCCTTGCTTAAAAGAGCCAAGCTGTGCTTTTTGAAGGCTTCTGATTGCAGCCTGAGCTCATCATAGGCCTTTTGGATCCCATCCACCTGGCGCTGGAGTTCCCGGACTCTCAAGTTGCAGTCCACTGCAGCTGCCTCTTGCTCGAACCTCTCTTGGGCAAGTTTCCTGGCTGCAGCTGCGACCTCCAACTTCTCCTCAAGCTGGCGGATCTCTGCCTGCTTGTTCTGAAGCACCTTGCCCCTCTCCATGGACAGCTGCAGCAACTCCTCCTTCTCACGCGTGACTGCCTGCAGTCTGGTCTGCAGCTCCAGGCTCAAGCTGTTGTGTGTCTCCTGGGCCTTCGCCATCTGCTCCTCTGCCTGCTGGTGCTGCTGCTTGAGGCCCTGCAGCTGGTTGCGCAGCTGATCGGTCTCCTTGGCGTAGGCACACGCCTGCTGGCTCTGCAGCGCCCGCAGCTCCTTCTCTCGGGCCTGCGCCTGGCATGCGTCCCACGCGTGTTTCTGTTTCAGGGTCTCCAGCTCCTTGGCCAGAGCCTCGCTCCTGGCTGTGAGCTGCAGGACTTTGGCTTCCTTGTCCTGCAGAGCCTGGCAGAAGAGGCTTTCGTTCTCCAGCTTCAGCTTCTCATTCTCCTCCCTCAGCTTGATGTTCTGGTTTTTGTGTTCATCTTTGAAGCGGATCATCAACTCGTGGTTGTCTGCCAGGGTCTTAAAGCGCTCCTCCAGCTTCCGGGCACGCTCTTTTTGGGTCTTCAGCTTCTCCGCCGCCTGCACCCTCGTCTCCTCCAGCTCCGTGTTGAGCAGCTCCAGGATCTGACAGCGCTCCAGGGCTTCATCCGACCTCCGCTTGAGGATGCAGATGAGCTGGGACTGCTCTTGGATGCGGGAGCGGAGCATCGCCTTCTCGCCCTTCTCTTCCTCGGACAGTCCCCGGAGGTTCGCCAGGGCTTCCTTCAGCCCCTTCAGTTCTTTAAACTCCTCCTCCTCCTCCTCTTCCTGGATCTTCATTTCTTGATTTTGCTTTTCTCGGGGTCTTTCAGAGGGTGGGGTGTCCATCCTGCGAGTCTTCTCTTCCTGAGGCATCAGGCACTCTTCCTCCGCGCACACCAGATTACAGTCAGCCCTTTCCCCTCAGGTTTCCAAAGCCCGCAGGGCGTTGCTACGGACGCTTGGCACTGGCCAACTGCAAGATTTCCCAGCAAGGAGCCTTGTCATTGGTGGGCTGTCCTTCAGAATGCTGTGGAGCAACACCACAGATGGATGGGTGGGGCGGGGAGGTAGGGCGGGGGAGCGCAGAGGTCCGGAGCCAATAAGATCTGGGTTTTCTTGCTTTTCTAACCAATCACAGCCCTCAGTTCAGGGTCAAGGTCCAGCCTCTACATGGCCAACCTCACTCAACTTCACTCTGGCACAGTGGGAGGAGGAAGATTTCTAGGGAGAGAAGACAAGTCAGGTTTGTGTTGACCTCCTCCTCCTCTCTTTAGTTGTCACAAAAAGATTAGGGTCTGTAAGAACACGGTTCCGCAAAATTTTGCAATCGATGAATACAGCCTAAAATTGTCTGGCAGGCTGCCCTCCTAGGATTTGACCTGGCTCACTTTTCATATTTAAATATTAAAGCAGCAAACGTAATGAAATTTCCCCTGGCGTTGTCCTTATTTGGGAACAGATATTGTAGAAAATAGTCTGCATTCCTGTTTTTACCCATTAGCAAAATAAGTTGTTGGTTTTTTGAATGCACATTATAAATGTGAACAACATTAAAACAGAAAAAAATTCAAGACGCTTATATCAAGTTCAATTCCAGATGAATTGGTTAAATGTTAAGTGAAATAAAATTATAAAGAATGAAACATAAAATGAAGGGAGGCATCAAAACTAGGCTAGAAAAGACTTTCTTAAGCTGAAGCATTATATAAGTAAAAGAAAAGGACTTAATTGAAAATCTATGGCATGTATGATTTTTAAAATTGTCTTCTCTCAAGTCTTTGCAGCCTCTTCTCCTGGGCTTGCCTGGCCTTTTGCTTCCTAGCAAATCCACCTGCAAAGCTGCCCTACCAACCCAGCCTCTGGCCCTGTCTGTGGGTGTTGCTCTTCCTGGAAACCTTGGACTTGTCACCCTGCCGTGGACAATTTACTCAGCTTTTTATTGTTAAACAATTATTTCGTCTGTGAAGGCTTTTTGTGGTCCTATATCTAGAATTGTCCACTCACCTCTTTAATTGCATCCACTGTTGCCTATTTGTTATTTGTAGTGGGGATAGGAAAGCTTTTCTGTAATCACTGCTTGCCAGCATCACATAGGTTGTAAGATCACGATTGGGCAAGGACTATGCCCATTTGTTTCATTTTTGGAGATGAGACCAGTGCCTGGCACATTAGAAAGACTCAGACAAGTATGTATGAAATAAAAATCAATTTGAGGGCTGGGAAGGTGACTCAGTGGTAGAGTGCTTGCCTTGCATGCATGAGGCCCTGGATTCAGTTCCTCAGCACCACATAAGCAGAAAAAGCCGGAAATGGTGCTGTAGCTCAAGTGGTACAGTGCTAGCCTTGAGCTGAAGAGCTGAGGGACAACGCCCAGACCCAGAGTTCAAGCCCCACGACCAACAAGAAAAAAAATTAAAAATTAAAAAAATTATAAACATGTTAGACAAATAGTATCATATATACATATTAAAACATTAACATGCTAAATGAGAAAGGAGTAATTACATTTACAAACAAGGGAATAGAAATGCCTATGAATTGAACCCCAACAGTAATCTACTAGTTTCAAATTAAATGATCATTTCATTTATCAAATTAATTTAAAATTCCTTTTATTGCATTACTACCCAGGATTGGCAAGAGTACAGAGAAAGAGGCACTCTTCTGTGCTGTTGGCAAAAGTTAATAGTATATATTAAAAACTTAAAAACATTTTATGTCCTTTGAACTATTAATTACCCTTCAGAGGAAATCCTTGCTTGAGAAGTAATCTAAAAGGAAATATTTCATGCAAATCTCTTCATTGAAGTACGATTTGTAAGCATTAAAAAGCTAGGAGTGCCGTGCAAGCCTGTAATCACAGCATTTGGGAGACAGAGGCAAAAGGATTTTGAGTTCAAAGTCAGCCTGAGTTACACAGCAAATTTAAAGCTAGTCTGAATCTTAATGTTAGACCCTTTCTCAGTAAGTAACAGTAAAACAAAGTAACAATAAAACAAAAATTAAAACAAACAATAAAACAAAAAGGAAGAAAGAGAAAAGGGAGAGAGGGAGGATGGAAATAAACATGAAAACAAAAAGCTTGAAATTTAAAAGTCCAAAAAAAGGAAATAAAATAAAAATGATATATTCATACAACTGAAAATTATGAAGTCATTGAACATTATAATATTTATAGGTAATATTTAATAGCACAGAAAATATTCACATTGGAACAATAAATAAAAACAAGATATAAAACCCAAAATTCAGAATAAATTTGACATTGTGAAACTTAAACATAGACAAAAATGTTGACTATTCCTGCAGTCATTATTTGTGGAGATCAGATGTATTATCTCCAGTCATGTTGATGAAAAAAAATACTGTGTGTCATCATAGATATGGAATAGATTTTTAACTGCTTCAGATCTAATTGGGAACAAACATCAGAAAGAAGAGTTGTAGTTTCTCCTTAAGTCTAAAATATGAGGGCTTTGTTTCCTAATTTTTTGCCTACACAAAGAACATAAGGTTGAAAACTGGCAACTTTTGTAAACTTTTGTAAACTTTTGTAAAAGTGAGCTCCACTTGAACTGAATTGTTCAGGGGCAGCTCCCAGGCCTAGAGCTCAAGCCCTATGACTGACGAGAGAGAGAGAGAGAGAGAGAGAGAGAGAGAGAGAGAGAGAGGAGAGAGAGAGAGAGAGAGAGAGAGAGATCTTTCATGCAATTGTTTCTAACATATTTATAAGATTATGTCTTTGTTGCCTTGTATGTCCCTCCCCCATGGTACAACCCCTGCTTTCACTATATATGATGTTGGTATATGTGGAGGGGAAGGGAAAAAACAAATAGTTAAAACAGGGATACAGGAGGACCCATTGCAACAATGAGATGTACAAGTCGTTATGTCGAAAAATGAACTTTACAACTTTGGTGGGGGAGGGGGGACGGTGGAGGGGAGAAGGATACGAAGGGATGGGAAGGGGAAACAAAGCAGAGGCTACAATGCTTGATAAGAAATGTGCTCATTATCTTACCCTTGTAATTGTAACCCCTCTGCACAGTATTTTCACAATAAAAATATATTTTAAAAAAAGTGAGCTCCAATGACTTTTAAAACATAAATTTGCTGTGATTTTTAAGTTCCTTTTCCCCTTTTCCTTCAATCTCAAGTTTCATATGCTGAATTAGAACTTGTAAGATCCAGGAAGTGATCAGAAAGTTAGAATAGTCTTCTAATTTAGCATGTATTGAAAATTAGGTCTGTTAATATGGTTGTGTGATGGAATTAAATGAGTTTACAAAATGTATTTCTCTTTATCTTTTTTCCTCTTTCCCCAAATTTGTATTTCTTAAAATCAGAATTTGTTTAAGTAATATCAAGTCCAAAGATTTATTATCAAGGCAAAGAACTTAAAAAATTCATTAATCATTCACTAAGCATTTGCAACATATGGTTCTAGGAACCCATGAACAATATAAAAATTGTTGTTTTTCTCAGAACTTAGAGTGTAATAATCACTTTTCCCTCTTCTTTGCTCAGCCATCCCTCCCCCACCCGCTGCTCTTTGATCTTGAAAGTGATCCATATATTCCCTTCTTAGAGGTCCAAGTCATAAAACTAGGCCAATGCTCTGCCTACCAAGTGGTGAATGTTGAGGCTCCTCCATCAACTGAGATGGAAAGGGGAGTATTAATCAATATTATTTTGATTAAAAAACAATTCAACTTGTCTAGGCAAATAGGATATTTATTATTATTATTTATTTTGTCTCACAGGAAGAACACTGAAGGACCCAGAGAATCAAAATGAGAATAACAGAAACTAGATAGCACTTCAAAAAGGTATTGCAGATGTTAAGCCATCAGGATTCTATTTCCTTGTCAATTTTCTTATCTTTTGCAGTCAGGATGATGCATGATTTTCTTCATACAAAGATGTAAGGAGTTGAATGCTTCTGCTGGGTTTATGTATGGCTATGGTCTGTGATAGTGCTTGGGGGTAGTATTTAGTGGAAAGAAATGGGGGCAAATGAATATTGAGGTTGTTAGTAAGAAAGTCATTGGCTGGAAAGGGAAATAATAATGGGAGATGACTGACAGGGATTTTAAAAAGTAGTGTCGGGCTGGGAAGGTGGCTCAGTGGTAGAGCGCTTGCTTTGCATGCATGAGGCCCTGGGTTTGATTCCTCAGCACCACATAAGCAAAAAGAAAAAAGCCGGAAGTGGCGCTATGGCTCAAGTGGTAGAGCGCTAGCCTTGAGCTGAAGAGCTGAGGGACAGCGCCCAGGCCCAGAGTTCAGGCCCCACGACCGGATCCAAAAAAAAAAAAAAAAAAGAAGTATCTTCAACAGATTTAAAAAATAGCTCTCATAGAATAATAAAAGGCAAACTAAAAGCATAAAGGATTTTGGTTAGAGTGGAGTATTCAGAATTCAGCCTTGGGGCTTGAACTCAGGGCCTGGGCACTGTCCCTGAGATTCTGTTTGCGCAAGGCTAGCACTCTACCACTTGAGACACAGCCCCACTTCTGGCTTTTTCTGAGGAATCGAACCCAGGGAGGGCTTTATGCATGCTTAGGCAAGCAGTGTACCACTAAACCACATTCCCAGACATACTTTTGTTTCTCCTTCCCCCTACCTCCTCCTCCTCCCCTTCCCCCTTCTTCTCCTCCCCCTCCCCCTTCTCTCACTCCCCTTCCTCCCTCTCCTCTCCCTCTCCCCCTTCTTCTTCTTCTTCCTCCTCCTCCTCTTCTTCTCCTCCTCCTCCTCCTCTTCTCCTCCTCCTCCTCCTCCTCCTTCTTCTTCTCCTTCTCCATCATTCTTATTATTTTGCCAGTCCTGGGGCTTGAACTCAGGGCATGGGCGCTGTCTCTGAGCTTCTTTTGCTCAAGGCTAGCACTCTACCACTTGAGCCACATTCCCAGCCCTTGAATTTACTTTTAGATTTAGAATTTAATTTAGGTGTAGAATAGTTCCCATCAGGTTCATGGCATATGCATGCTTGAAAAAGAATGGAGGTCACAGCCATTCAAACTGAAGCCAAGGAGTTACAAGCCAGGATACTTGATACAGTCTCTGTGCTGTGCCAGGTGCCACCCATTGACGAATGGGTATGATTAGCGGGAAGGACAGCTGAAGACCATAAGATGGAGTAAAGGAAATGATAGCAAACCTATTTACTGAAGGCTATTTGTCAAGCGCAAACATTTGCACTCCTTAAGGATAACTTAGAAAATATCACTTCAATTTTTAAAAAGTAATGGAATTTTGAGTGATTTTTTTTTTCACTTGAGACAGACACGTGAATTGCACGAAGGATTTCTCCACTGTCTGGTCATTACACAACCGTATTCTTCTATGAACTATTTCTCCACAGCCATATATTAGACTCATCTCAATTATGAGATCAGACTCTACCCAAGTTTGGCCACAGTGGATGCTCCAAGAGACAGTCCAAGAGACATGGAGGACAAACAAGCCGGTCCAGCTTCCCCCAGGGATTTCTCAAGCAGAATATAGGCAAGAGAAGGGCTCTGGCTGGGAGGCTGAGCTGCTGGAGTTGCGTGGAGTATTGTTCTCCATTCCAAGAGGAGAAGGGAGACAGTAGCTAGATTCCTGGTTCCAGTTTGCAAGTCTCCAAAGTAATCTAGGCTAACCAGTTTCTGCCCCACTGGCCCTTTTATTGGCAGGAGGGGGGTTGGCGCTAGAGGACATATTCTTTGTTCCATTTCTGAAAACAAAACATCTGAAATTATAAAGCCTAAAAAGTATTATCATTCCAGTCTAGGTATTGCAAGGCCCTGAAAAAAAAATCCTTAAAATATGAACTTAAAACAAAAAAACAAAACAAACAAAAAAACACTTCCAGCTAGGCCCTGGTGGCTCATACTTGTAATCCTAGCTACTCAGGAGATTGAGATTTGAGGAATTTGGTTCAAAGACAGCCTGGGCAGGATGTTGTGAGACTCAGATCTCCAATGAACTTCCAAAAAATTAGAAATGGAGCTGTGGCTCAAGTGGTAAAGCACTAGACTTGAGCAAAAAAAAAAAAAAAAAAAAAATCAGACCCTGAGTTCAAGCCCCAGGACTAACACAGACACACAGACACAGACACACACACACAGACACACACACACAGACACACACACACACAGGAAAAGAAAAGGCATCTGGTTTAATAACGTCTTAAGTTTCAGCAAGGTCTTTGCCTAAAAGTTACACTGGCCTTTTTAGGTCATTAATCTAAATTCTCTAAAGAGTTCAGGTTGTTTGCACAAGCTTTCTACTTACAGGTGCAATTAACTTTATGATTTGTATTTTCTTTTCCAGAAGACAATGTTGTGTGATTCCCTTGGCCTTCATGAGGCAGTTAGAAAGCACTGTGCATAGATGCCCAAAGGACTAGAGTCTCTCGAAGGTGAGAAATCAGGATGGGAGGAAACACGCAGTGTTGGCTGTAGGCAGGGGAGAGGGGAGGGACTAGAACCAATTTTGTTAGTGCTCCAGAGCTGGCTGGTTTCTTGGAAGTGAATAAATTGGTAAAAAAGCTGAAGAGGAGGACTGGGAAGGTGGCTCAGTGGTAGAGCGCTTGCCTTGCATGCATGAGGACCTGGGTTCCATTCCTCAGCACCACATAAGCAAAAAGAGAAAAGCCGGAAGTGGCGCTGTGGTTCAAGTGGTAGAGCGCTAGCCTTGAGCTGAAGAGCTGAGGGACAGCGCCCAGGCCCAGAGTTCAGGCCCTACGACCAGACTCCCTCTTCCCCCCCGCAAAAAAAAAAGCTGAAGAGGAATCATTGTAATGTGGCACAGGCCAGAACAGGGTCTACTCTACTGCTTCTATATCCCAAGGTAACCACAGAGGCCAGACTCATCTTTCCTTTACCCAAGGTCAGAGAGTAGAGCCAATACTCCCATTGAGTACTTAGGGAGACAATGGAGAGGTTAGTTGATCTACTAACAAATGGATCCAAGGCTCTACTATCTATTGAGAAAAAAAGCAAGCACTCTAGTAGTTACTTTAAATGACATTTATTGGATATTTGCTATAAGACTCTGTGCTTCCCTAAACCTATATTAAATCAGTGATATTTTACAAAGCAAACTAGGTGGGAGTAACATTTCATGTATTAAAAATATCCCCAGGAGTCACTACAGAAAACTTTTTAAGAATAACTATTGCTGGGGACGAGTGGCTCACGCCTATAATCCTAGCTACTCAAGAGGCTGAGATCTGAGGTTCATGGTTTAAAGCCAGCCCAGGCAGGAAAGTCTTTGAGACTCTTATCTCCAATTAACCACCAGAAAACTGGAGGCGGCACTATGGTTCAAGTGATAGAGCACTTGCCTTGAGCTGAAGAAGAGCTTAGGGACAGCTCCCAGACCCAGAGTTCAAGTCCCATGACTGACCAAAAAAAAAAGAATATCAAGCTTTAAGAAAAAAATTAAATGTAATAAATTTTAATACATTCCTGTTTATCAACAACATGTATGTATGTGTGTGTATGTTGTTTGATACTAGCACTGTCCAATCACATTTTTTGCTCAAGGCTACTTGAGCCACAACCCCATTTCTGGATTTTTTGCTGGTTAGAGATAATATTCTCATAGACTTTCCTGCCTGGCTGGCTTCAAACCCCATTCCTTAGATCTCAGCCTCCTGAATAGCTAGGATTACAGGTGTGAGCCACCAGCACCAGACTGCCAACAACTTTTAAAATAAAAATTCTTCTTGTAACAATGTAGCCAAAACTTCTCACTCAGGGAGGTGACACCAAAAGTTACAGTAACACCTCTGAAGAAAACAGAGCTCAAACATTCAAAGTCTATAATCCTAGCTACTTGGGAGGCAGAGATCGCAGGATTACAGTTGGAGGCCAGTTCCTACAGATGGATGGACAGATGGACAGACAGACTCTCTCTCTTTCTCTCTCTCTCTCTCACACACACACACAAACACATTAGCAAGAATCCACCTCATCTACTAGCTGAGTGCAGTGGTACACACATTATCCTAGCAATCTGAGGAAATACAAATAGGAAGATCACAGGATAGGCTTGCTTGGACCTAAAGCAAGACTATATCTGAGAAATAGCCAAATAATCAACACAAAAAGATCTGGAGGAAGGGCTCAAGTGATAAAAGGCCTGCCTAGCAAGCATAAGGATCTGAGTTCAAATCTTAGTGTCACAAGGAAAAAAAAAAAAGACTCTGGATAAGCATTAGCTCAAGAGAATTTATTAGCCTTGCTAGAGAATTTAGATTTTTAGCATTCCTAATGTAAAATATTTTATCTAAAATAAGACCGCAGGACTGAGTGTGGTGGCTCATGTCTGTAATCCCAACTACCCAGGAGGTATTGCAGTTCAAAGCCAGCCAAGCAAAATTTTAGTGGGGCCTCTCTTCATCTCAACCAAGAAGCTAGGTGTGGTGGCAAACATCTCTAATCACAACTACTGAGAAGTATAGAGTGGAGTTAAAGACCGAGGTTGGCCCCAGGAAAAATCACTAGACTCTTAACTGAAAAATAAATAGAAAGCAAAACAGAAAAGAAAAGAAAAAAAGCTGGAGGTGTGGTATGGCTAAAATGGCAGAGTGCCTGCCAATAAGCTCCAAAATGTGTATCCAAACCTCAGTACCACACACACACACCTACACACACACACACACACACACACACACACACACACACAGACACACACACACACACACACACACACACACACACACACACACAAATTCAATCAATAAATAAAGTAAAATACGAAGTCAGGCTAACTTGCCAATATTATTTAAGTAAGATGATAATTTATTCTAAGAGTTTTACAAAATACTTTATGAAATTATGTATCCACAGAAAGTACAGTAAAATTAAATGGTTTTTATTTTAATTAAAACTTTGTGAAGTTTAGATGTGGCAACTTTTATGCTTCTTCATATAATAAACTTATGAGAAAAGCAATCATATATATGTAAGATAGTCCCATTTTGTATTTAACATACTTTATTGCAAAATGCAGGCTGAAGACTTACTTTTTAAAAAGAGAAGTAAACCAAAATAAGCCAAGAATTGAATTCCATTTATAGCCAGTGGGTGGCACCAAAGTACATTTGAGACGGAGGAAAAGTGCAAGTTCTCTTAAGACAGAAGTCTGCAGTCAGTCCAGTCTTGTTCTAACGTAGACTTCAGTATTTATTAGTAATTACAGAGTAAACAGTTATTTGTGTGGTTTGCTGACATCACTGAAGTTCTCCTTCTCTGCCACTAACCCAGGACTGTGTTTCTGTTGCTTTTTTCTACAACTACTAATTTGGTAAATTCTGCAAGAATCTAATTGAGTCAGAGGCCTTCATTGTAATTCAAGATTGTGATATGAAGCACATGCTGGCAAACTGGAACATTTTACTGGTTAAAACATCTCCAAATTTAATAATTTGGGTTTAATAATTAGGTTTTTCTTTAAGCAACAACAATAATTCAGTATTCCTAGCTTGGTCAAATCTTTTTAATGCCTGAATCACAAATAAGTCACAGGTCTTTTCATTATTTAAGTTCCTTGGGCTTTTGTAGTCAAAGAAACACATGCAGACTGACTTTACTGAAGTGTGTAGTATTTCTTAGTGGCAGCAGATAGGAAGCAAGAATCTGTCAGAGACATCCAAGGTCAGCTTCCACCCATGTAGTCCTTTTCAGTGGAGCAGCTTGTGGGCTCTGGGCTTATTTGGAAATCTTGGCAATTAAAAGCATTCTGAGGGGCAATGTTGCTTCAATCCAAGAGTTGGGGGAATTTACCATCTTCTCCCAGAGAGCAACTTCCTCAGAAGTAGAATCCATCCAATCTACTTCTGTGCCATAGCTTTTTCCTTAAAAAAAAAAAAAAGATCATCTGAGGGATCCCATTACCAAGATCATTCTCATAATTCCCAGAGCAATGATTTCTTTTCATGCAACTATTATGGCTGCTGACAATTTGTCAGGGACAGAGAGATGTTGGGAGGATTCTGTACTAGGATCGAAGTAACATTAGCTGTCCCTCAGGAAGTGGATAAGACTCTGGTGCCTAGAGGATTCATTTTCATATCCTGGCTCTGTCACTTAGTAGCTCTGTTAATTCAACTTCCTGGAATATCAGTTCTTTGGGGAATAATATTAGAAAGTATCATATCTGTTGTGCAGAATTAAACAACGTAAATAAAACATTTAATACAATTAACTACAATGCTCTATAGATGTTAATTATTATAGTTATCCAAAGTATATCTTTACCTTTGAAGAACCATAAATATTTTCTTTTATTTTGGTGTGTGTAGAGGATGGTAATATAGGTATATCTCCTTTCCTCACCAACAATAACTTAAGCGCTATAAGGACAGTCACTACATACTGTTAATTCTCATATCCAGAGTCCTTGGAACACAGAATAGCATTCATTCACTAATCTATTCATTATACCTACTGGCTATCTGTTATCACTAGGACAAGGCAAGGCAACCAGAAATCTCTCCTTATCCCAGGGGAATTTGGCTCTTGGAGAAGAAACATGGATCAAATGTTACCTGTTCCAAAGCCAATCCGGAGACCTCCCAAAAACTGGTTTGTTAATTTGTAATGGTCCCAGACAGTGAGTTCAACACAGGCTTCCTTCAAATCTTCAGGCCTGAACCCATCATAGACCATGGTATGGTTGAAGACAGGGTTGGTGGTTTTCCCTACAGCTCTTGTCTTCTGACGACTTTTCCTACTGGTATCAGGAAGGATGGTACTATAAAAAGAGACATGATTGTGGCAACGTTTTGAGATGGTATAATAGTGAACATGCATATTTTCAGTATACTACAGCATTGGAAAGGAAGGAAGGAAGTGTGGAGAGAATAGTGCTGGTGGTGGTTTGGGGGAAGGCAGGGAAGAAGACAGACTTGCTTTGGATCTTCCTCTGCCACTTATAAGCTAAGCTTGCCAGGGACAGTTGCTCAACCTCTGCCTCCTCACCTACAGAGGAGAATGGATGACACTGACTTCAGAAGGTTGATATGGCAATTATTTAACACATGCACAACACAAAGTCCAAAGTCTGCATTTAGTAACTGATTCTATATGGTAGCAATTGCCTGATGGTCTCTTTAAAAGTTAAAATCACAGTGTATTCCTGATTACCTATGATAACCTAAGGAATTAGTGTTATAATATTTATAGCATCGAAAAATGTTATAAATACCTATCATCTAAACTAGTGGCTAAGATAGTAGTTCCTTTCCATGTTTATAATAGGAAAAAGGTTGCCATTTAGAAACCTAAGCAAGCTATCTTAAGCTTTAACTATTAGTAGAGGTCTATTTATTGAATAATTTTCTAAGTATCTATAGACTGGTACAAATGGACCACAATGTGTGGAACAAAGGAAAAGAATTCTGTTCCACAAAAAGTCCCTGTTCTACAAAGGAGCCAAGGAGTGTGCCATCTTATCTTTCAAAATTTGATCAACTCTTAATACTCTTTCCCTCACCTATCAATGTAGTGTGTTTGAGTTTGAGGCCTCTACTTTCATTTGTACATCCTTCTCTAGCTTTACAATTTCAAAAATAAATAATGCTGCCAGGCACTGGTGGCTCATGCTATAATCTTAGCTACACAGGAGGCTGAGATCTAAGCCAGCCCAGGCAGTTAAGTCCATGAAACTGTTATCTCCAATTAATGGCCAAAAGTCAGAAATGGAGCTGTGGCTCAAGTGGTAGAACACTGCCTTGAGCAAAATAGCTCATGGATAGCATCCAGGCCCTGAGTTCAAGCCCCAGTACCCACACAGAAAAAAAAAAATGGTAAATGTAGCCTTGGGAGTTGTTATTACAGATTCCTCTACTTGGTATCTTCATTATTAAACTACAAATGATGAGTTTCAATATCCCTGATATAGAGAACTGAACATAATGAGCAAAGGCTAAGGCTAAAGTAGAACTGAAGAGGGCTGAGTCATTAATGCTGTTACCATCTAACAAATGAATTTAGATGGCTTCCTCTTAGCAGTGGCAGCTCAAGGCACTCCTTTACCCAGATGTGGACTTCTCCAGTGCTATGAAGCTTTTTACCTATAACAGAATGAGAGAAAATGTTTACTTCTATTTCTCTTTTAATAATCTTGCATCCCAGGTTGTCATCTTAAATATATCACAGTGTTGCTAGTTAGTACATGACAGTATTAAATTGATTAAACTTTACTCTTTTATCTTTTGAGGTACTAGAGTTTGAACTCAGAGCCTCATACTTGTTTAGATGGTACTCTACCACTTGACCCACATCTTCAGCCTGACTTTCTTTTGGTTATTTGGAGACAGAGTCTCAGATTTTTCTACCCAGAATGGCTTCAAACCACAATCCTTGGGATCTCAGCCTACTATAAGTAGCTAGGATGATAGTGTGAGCCACCAGCACCCAGCTCCTATTTGTTTTTAACTATATCATTCACAGTCTAGCTGTAATGAGCTCAAGATAGCTTTATAAAAATAATTTATAAACTGGGCATTGGTGATTTATGCCTGTCATCCTAGCTAATCAGGAGGCTGAGATCTGAAGATTGCAGTTTGAAGACAGCCCAGGCAAAAAACTCCATGAGACTCTAATCTCCAATAAACCATCAAAAGCCAGAAGTAATGCTATAGCTCAAGTGTAGAGTACTAGCCCTGAACAAAAAAGGTAAGGGACAGTACCCCAGGCCCTGAGTTCAAGCTCCAGCACTCATTCATAAATAAATAAATACAATGAAAAATTCATATTGCTTCTGAGTATTCCATTGTTCTTTTGAGGGTTTTTTTTTCTTGGTTCAACAAGATCAGATCTGAGGGATGTGAATTATCCACTCATAGTTAATTCAAAACATCTGAATAAAATGTTAGTTTTTCAAGCATTAATCCTAATATAAGTCAGTGCTAGTGGAAGGTATTTTAAACATATTTAAGTGTAAAGTAATCAACGTAGATACTGGCTAAAGTACTGCCATTTTTATTAACAATAGTGTTTTCATATGCATACAGACATACATACATTTTTTGTGTCAGTCCTAAGTCTAGAACTCAGGGCCTGGGCACGGTACCTGAGGAGCTATTTTTGCTCAACCACTTAAGCCACAGCTCCCCTTGTGGCTTTTTGGCATTTAATTGGAAATAAAGAATCTCACGGAATATCCTGCTCAGACTGGCTTCGAACCACAATCCTTCCAGATCTCAGTTTCCTGAGTAGCTAGGATTACAGGCATAAGCTACTGGCATCAATAGTGTTTACATATTTTATAGGGATATTGCATATACATATGATATTTAATATTGTGAATAGAGACTTACTAAGAAGCTGATGTGGTCTGAAGTTGCTGTCTAGGCTGGGTACACATAGAACGAAGACTTCTATTATTTAACCAAACAGGATTTAGTGAACAATTATGATGTGCTAACATCTATGCTAGGAATGTCATTAAATATACAAGGAGTACGAGAGTTTGGTGCTGGTGGCTTACACCTGTAATCCTAGCTATACTAAGACATGAAGATCATGGTTTGAAGCTAGCAAGAGACTCTTTCTCCACTTAACCATCAGAAAAGCTGGATTGGAGGCATAATTCAAGTGTGAGCCACGAGAGAGAAAAAGCCAAGCAAAACTATAAGGCCCTGAGTTTAATCTCCGATACTGGGACAAAAAATAATGATAAGAAATGAAATGATCTATGCCCTTTGGAAGTGTTTATAGTTAGACATGAGAAATTCAAACAAAATCTATAAATACATAGCATGAAATCCAAGGTATTACTGTATGCTCTAGAAGATGGTATGGTAGGTGATGTCTAAGTTAGTCTTATGGATGAGAGGGGAGTTCAGCTAAGACATGGACAAGAGGGGGAAGGAGGAAGCCATTGTAGGAAGGAAGAACTATATAAGTAAGAACACAGCCAAGGTGGAGTCATCACAATACACTATTCTCTAGCTCCCATGACCAAGTGATAGTGGGGAAAGTGAGAAACAGAGCCGGCATTTCTATGCATGGTAACCTTAAGTGATAGAATACAAATTATGTGCAAAAGACTCCCCCTTTAAAGAAGATCCAAAGGGCTGGGAAGATGGCTCAGTAGTAGAGTGCTTGCCTTGCATGCATAATGCCATGGATTCCTCAGCAAAAAAAGCTGGAAGTGGCACTGTGGCTCAAGTGGTAGAGTGCTAGCCTTGAGCTGAAGAGCTGAGGGACAGTGCTCAGGCCCAGAGTTCAAGCCCCATGACCAAAAAAAAAAAAAAAAAAAGAAAGAAAAAAAGAAAAAAGAAAGAAATTAGGATAAAGAAGATCCAGAAATCACAAGATGATGGTCTAGATGTAATTTGGCCTCAAGATATGCTTTCTTTGACCTCTATTTCTTTTAAATACTTAACTATTATTTTTTTTTATCTTAGTTCAGCTACTTCCTTATCATCTATTACTTCCTTCATAGAGCTAACCTCTGTGTCTGGTTACTTAAATACTTGAGTTTGCAACCCCTAATTTCAGCGATAGCAGTCCCACAGGTGGGTAAGAAGAATGCCTGAGAGTAGAGATGAGGCCTGGTGTTTTGCTCTATAGCTGGGCTGAACACATGAGGCCCCAATGTCAAGGATGTAATTAGCAATCTTGATACTAAAGCTTCACTTCCTAATAAGACTCTAAGAATGGAGTACAAATGAAGTTCTAATTTCTTAGGACTTTCCTTGAATCCTAATTCCCATCTGTGAAAAAAAACAACCACCCCAGCTCCATTCTTACATCAGCACTGTCATAAGGGCCACATTCTGAACACGGGAAAGGCCAGCTACATGGCACAGATACATACTTTGCAGAAGGAGAGTAAAGTCAAAACCAGGACTGAAAAAAAATGATAATTTTCTCATAGAATCAGAGAGTAGAATGGTGGTTAAAAGGTTTGGGGTAAAGGCAAAGGGGAGTTGTTGTTTAATGGGAACAGCCCACTATTTAATGAGGTAAGAGAAAGTTCTGGAGGACACTATGCAACAATGTAAATATATTCATCATGACTGAGCTGTGCACTTAAAATGGTTAAGTTGGGAAATTTAATATTATATGTTTTTTTTCATAAAAAAAAAACAAGAATTTTCTAGTTTACAACTATAATTGACTCATTTGGTCTGACAAAGTATTATTAACTTACTAAATCTGTCTAGAGCTTCATGTGTGAAAATATATCAGGAACCTGATAGAATCTTTGGAGAGGAGAAAGATAGAGAATAGAAAATCATTTCTTACCAGGGGTTGGCTCTGGAACATACTGGAGAGCTAGCTTCATTTCACCTCTGTTTTCTGCTTCAAGGGCAACTGGCGCTGTCTGAGGAATGAAGGACAATCAGCAGGTGAAGGACACAGATTTTACATCCTGTTTGTGGGTGCTACATTACAGGACCATATCTGCCTCATTTCTGGGACTAGGTATCATTTCAGTGCCCTGAATGAAAATGTCTTTGCACATTAGAGCTAGACTGTTGTCTCCATGACTAGAAAAACATCGTGCATCTTAGAAAACCTTTCAGGGAACCCAGAAAGCCTTGCATGGTCTTTCAGACTCAGGGATGCTCAAAAAATAATGGATTGTTTGAAGATGGCAGAGGTAGCCTGAGGAGCTTTTATTTTTATTAAAACACACACATTAAGTTTTTGATCAACAAATAAAATATTTTATTTTCATTCCTTTTCTGTAAAAGAGTATAGTAGATGGTATGGGAATGTGTATGTGGGTAAGGGGGAGCCGATATTTTCACAGTTGTATTAACACAATAATTACAGATCAAATGCAAAGGAGTCTGTCAGAATAACAAAGACCAGCTTGACATAGTATGTCATGCATGTACTATCAGATATTCAGAAGTTGAAGATTGAGAGGATTAGCCAGCTGAGACAAAAAGTTATTGAGATCTCATCTCAACAAGTAAACCAGGTGTGGTACTAGACATTCTAGCTATGCAAATCCCTGCGACACAAGAAACATAAGTAGAGGATCACAGCCTGAGGCTACCCAAGGGGAAAAATGTGAGAGCCTATGTGAAAAAAAACCCAAAACAAAAACCTGTAACCCCTCTGTATAGTATCTTTACAATAAAATTAAATTAAAAAAAACTACAGCAAAAATGGTTAGGACATTACTCAAATGGTAGCACAAATGGTAGCATACTTGCCTAAAAAGTATAGGGCCCTAAGTCCAAATCCCAATACTACCAAAAGGAAGGAAGGGAGGGAGAGAGGGAGGGAGGGAGGGAGGGAGGGAGGGAGGGAGGGAGCAAGGAAGGAAGGAAGGAAGGAAGGAAGGAGGGAGGGAAGGAAGGAAAGAAGGAAGGAAAGAAGGAAGGAAGGCAGGCAGGTGGGAAGGAGGAAGGAGGGAGAGGGGAAGCAGGGAGGGAGGGAGGAGGGAGAGGGGAGCAGGGAGGGAAGGAGGGAGGGAGAAAGGAAGGAAGGAAGGAGGGAAAGAGGAAGGGAGGGAGGGAAGGAGGAAAGAAGAGAAGGAGGGAGGAGAGGTGGGAGGGAGGAAAGGAAAGAAGGAAGGAGAGAAGGAGAGAGAAAGGGAAGGAGGAAGGAAAGAAGGGGAGGGAGGAAGGAAGGGAGGGAGGAGTGATGGACAAGACATAAAAGGCATGTTGCTTATTATTTGTAAGAAAGATGTTATATTTACGTGTGAGGGAGGTGATTTTACTTTCAAATTCTGGCTACTTATTAGCACCTTAGTTCTAAAATATGGGTATGAATCTGAAGTGTAACGGGAATAGTTAACAGTGAGATACAATGCACATCTGAGGAATTTGAGTTCCATGGGCCTGACAAAGGCTTCAAGTGATTTTGACACATTTGGGAACTGTTTTGGTTTTTGTGTGTGTGATGTAGATATACTAAATAACGGTATATATTGATTATATTTATCACTTCTGAACTAGTTTGGACTACATCAACCCTCACACTGAAAGTAATAATTTTTTTAAGAAAGAAAGATTTAAAGCTATCAAAGTCTGAAGGCAAAGCTTCTAAAAAAGGGAAAGCATATATTAATTATAAGAATTCAAAAGGTGGAAAGCCAAAGTGTAGAAACAAACTACTAACTAAATGGAAGCTAACAGAGTTATATTAACACAGACAAAATAGATTTTTTTTGTCAGTACTAAGATTTTAACTCAGGGCCTTGCCTTTGCAAGGCATTCTGAATACCACTTGAGACATTCTACAAGTATGTCTTCCCATGTAGGGGGATTCATTCGTCGAGATAACGTCTCAATTTATGGCTTGGTCAGTCTAGACTTTGATCCTTTCCCATGTCTCTAGGACAACAGACATGCGCAATCACACTGGGCCATTGTGCTTCCCCAGTAGCCTGAGATGAGAGGTACACACATCACTGCATCCAGCCATTGGTTATGATGGAGTCTGACAAGCCTTTCTTTGCCAGGCTGGCCTTGAACCACAATACCCACATCTCTGACTCCCATTTACTTAGGATTACAGGCTTGAGTCACTACACCTTAAAGGACAAAGTAGATCTTAAACCAGTAATTATTATTATTACTAGAGATAAAAAGAAGTATTTTAAAACAATAGTCAATCCATGACAAAATAATTCTAAATGTGTATGTGTATACTTAATAACACAACCTCAAAATAAATTAAAAAAAAAAAAAAGAAAACAGGCTTGGGAGGATGTACCTCAGTAGTAGAGCACTACCTATAAGACCATGGGTTCAACCCTCAGCAGGGAAAGAACAAAAAGACAAAACCCAAAAGAACAAAAAAACAAATCCAACACCATCTCTCTCTTAGTAATTCACAGTGATCACAGACATAAAACTGATAGGGATAGAAAAGATTTTAGCAAGTATAATTGACTTACTGAGAACATTATATCAAACCACCATGGAATATTCTTTTTCAAGTGGCACATGGATCATTTATCAAAATGTGACCATATGCTAGGCTAAAAGTATGTCTCAAATTTCAAAGGACTGCATTTCTTAAATGACCTTCCTGAAGAATGAAGTCACACACAGTTGTGTTAAATGAGTTCAACATTCTCCTTATAATCTTTTTCATTCTTGTTTTATCTTCACTGAGTATACAAGTTAAGTAAATTCAACTCTAGTTTAAAATGATCCCACACCACACATCAGTAATGTGAGTTAAATACAACTAAGCTTTTCCCTGTACATACAAGTATCCACCCAAGTAAGCAACTCTGACCTACCTTCCGCTTCAGAGGGTACCACCGCAATTGTGTGTTCTGTTTGTTGTCCCAGTCCCAGGCTTCCAAATCAAGTTCTACCTCCCCCAGGAAACTATTGCGTTTAAACGTATCCCGATGCCAAACAGACAGGTTCAGCTTTTGTGTCTTTAAGATTTGCTTTTCAATTTTATACTGCAGTGCAAAGAAGAAAATTTAAATGAATTACATTATTTCATGCCAAAGTTATGACACAGGGATGAAGACAAAAGACATCAGTGCACATCAGATTTTCTCATCTGTAAGGTTTCAAGTCTCAAAAATATTGCAAAGTCATCTAATTCTGAGTATGTTATTTCAAAGAGCTCAAATCCATCTTTCACAAATGCTGAAGCTCTTCCCCCTCTGGAATAAGCAACCATAGCTCAAATATCATAGCTGGTAATAGCTTTCTAAAAACAAAAGCCAATTATTCAGCTTTTGCAGGATGTTTTTAGATTATATATATCATAAACCAAATACAAGTTAAAAATACAAATCACATTTAATATGATTCTGCTTTCTATGTGATGACAAGGTACTTCTTTTTAGACTTAAAAAATAGAGCTTTGAGTTTATAGCAAAATGGAGCAGAAAGTACAGAGTTCTGATACAATCTATGCCCTCCCCATACACAACTCTCTCACATTATCCCACAGGATTCTTAAGAATTTTTCAGAAAAGGTAATTTTCTTTCCCAGCTTCCTATGGCCAACAGAAATCTGGCACCTAATAATTTTTTACCTCCAGTGTAGTTAAACCTTGATTGTATATAAACATAGAAGGAGTAATAGTACTTTTAATCTAAAATAATCTCCATTTAATTTTATGATGTACTACTTGAACATCCATTTTGGTTGTAGCAGATCTGCCTTTCTCTGAATCTGCTATTCAAGTTAGCTTAAGTAGTTGACCCAGTAGAAGCTAAGGAACTGGGTTATCTTGAAGTAGCAATTAAAAACTTGCTAGAGAAAATCCACAGGTGGCCAATCAACATGAATAACTGATAATTAATTCACTGAACTATGGCTTCCTCCTTGTCCAGAGGATAATAAAAAACATGAGTCTTCAGAAAAGAGGGAGTGAATAACACTTGCTATATTTTCATTTTTAAATGGTCTGTTAGTCGGGACAAAGAAAGCCCAGGGAGAAAAAAGTGTGGTATATGAGCCAGGTAGACTTTCCAAACATCTGTCTTTCCAATAAACATTTCTGGGGACCTACCCTAGACACTGTACCACCAGTCAATATTTATGAAGCATTTAGGGTGTTAATCTCTTTATCTTTGTGAAGTGGTTTAACATCCATAATTACTAAAGGAAATTATTACTTTTTCCCTGCTGCAGATCAAAAATGATCATTATCCTCATTTCTCATATTTGAGATGGAGATATGTTTTATTCCCAAAGGGACAGAGCCTACACACAAAACAGTGTCAGCATCTGTCCTCAAGGAATGAAAAATCTTACTGTTGAGGTAGACAATTAAACCAGTTAAGTACTGAGTGTTAACAGCCTATTATAAAGCAAGGTTATAGAAGCAGAGCTGGCAGGGAGCTTAGGGATTAAAAACAGCTCAAAGAAGCCAGGCACCAGTGGCTCACGCCTGTAATCTTAGCTACTCAGGAGGCTAAGATCTGAGGATCACAGTTCAAAGCCAGACCGGGCAGGAAAATAACTGGAAGTGGCGCTGTGGCTCAAGTGGCAGGGTGCTCTCCTTGAGCTGAAGAGCTGAGGGGCAGCTCCCAGGCCCAGAGTTCAACCCCCATGACGGACAAAACAAAACAAAACAAAACAACAGCTCAGAGAGGCATTAATGGTTGCATGGAAGGAAGTTAGGGGAGAAATGTAGAGAAGAATATTCCAGTCTGAAGGAGCAGAAAGTGACAGCCATTGGAAAAAATAAATGCATTTGGCCCCAAATACAAATAACACAGAGTAAAGAGAACAAAGATTTTGAAAGAGGAAAGCAGAAGCTGGAACTCTTCAGGCTGTGAAGGAGTTATTATGCAGGTTATGAAAGCTAAGAGAATAGAATCCTAGATAATATTAAGCAGTGAACAATATGACCAAAATTGTATAGTAGAAGCTTATTCTGGTTGCACAGCTTAACTTTATTTTCTGTGTATCCTTGAACAAGTTAATTATTCCTCCAAGTTTCATTGTCTCATCAGTGAGATGTAAGTAATAATAACCATTTGGTAGGTTTTATGGGTGGTGAATGCATGGGATGATGTACTTAATACTCATAATATATTATTTTTCTTTTCTTTTCTTTTTGGTGCTGGTCCTAGAGCCTGAACTCAGAGCCTCACACTCTCCCTTGCTTTTTTTGCTTAAGGCTGGTACTTTACACTTCAACCACACCTCCACTTCTAAGTATATTATTTCTTACAAAAAGCTTGCTTTCTCTCGGTTACTCACTCTATTTGTACAGATGCTACCTAAGAAGGCATGGTTACTGAATGCACAAGTCACTACTTAGTATTTTCCTATGGAAAGAGTATAGATACCCGAAGTATCTCGTTATACACAGGATTCAAGGTTTTCTTCACGACGAGTGTTTTCCTCTTGCCCATTTTGCCTTTGTCTGGTAACAAGTAGGTCTTCACGTATCTATGAAGAAAACATAAATAGATATGGTCAGAGAAGATGAAAGTAATGTCTCTGCCTCGACTTTTCTAATACGTAAAAACTGACAGTAGGAATAATTACTTCATGAGATTGAGGAAAATAGTAAGAAAGGAATGTTCCTGCCAACACCTTTGATCTCCGAATGTTTAAATGGATTTTGGTAAAATAAGTTGTTTAATATACTGTTCCGAAGATTTCAAAGGGAAATTTCCTGAATTCATTTCTAATAAATGTGTAGAATGAAGAAGTCTGACCTGTAACAATGGTTAATTCTATGGGTTAATTTCTTATTCAAGAAAGGTTTGGATGCTGTAGAATTGCTTTGGGGTTTTTCTTTTTAAATGTTTTTGTTACTGCTTTCTGAAAAAAAAATCTTAGTATATGTTGGTTGGGTTATACTCAATGTAAAAAGATAAATGCTGAGCTTCATTGTTTTTTCTATAAAAAAAAAAACAGGAAGAAGGATAGGATAGCCAAGTAAAATATTTAGGAATCAAGCTTCTGCAAAAGGATAAGTAGAGAATCACTGAACCTTTACAAACTGAAACTATGATTTCAAGGATGAATTGGTAATTTTCCCTGAGAGTTCTTCTGTAGAACTTAATTAAATTTGGAAACCACCTTATTTTAAAGTCTTAAAGTCTTAACAGTTTTCACACGAATGGACATAGTAGAATATGCATCACACATTCTTAATGTTAGCAAAGGTTTGAAAAGAGACTGGGGTTCAAGGTTTCATTCGCTCTCTGAATTCATGGATATTCTTGTTTGTTTCTAGTCATTGTTTCCTTATCTGTAAAATAAAAGAACTGGACAAGATGATTTCAAAGGTCACTTCCATATTTCTCTGATATTTTTTATAATTTAATGTTTCACATGCAAATTTATATAGTAAATAAAACAGCATTTCCCTCCAACTTTAATGAACATGGCCTCTTCTTTTGATTGTTTTACTTCATTCTCAATTATTTTGGGTAGGTACTATAGCTTGAAGACAGCTCTATTACTTGGCTTTTTTGCTCAAGGCCAGAACTCTACCACTTGAACTATACCTCTACTTCTAGCTTTAACTGATTAATTGGAGATGAGTCTCTTTTCTGCCTGGGCTAGCTTTGAACTGTGATCTTCAGATTATAGGTATCAGCCACCAGTAACTGACTATAAATTAAACCTGAGAAACTTACTGTTAATTAGCTAACAATGAAATAATTAATTTTGGCCAATACTGGGGCTTGAAATCAGGGCCTCACAATCTCACTTGGCATTTTTTGCTCAAGGCTGGCATTGCATTACTTGGGACACATCTCACTTCCTCTCAAATCTAGGTTTGACAGATGTGTACTTACGGGTCTGAGCGCTGTTTCTTCACATCTGCTGCTGCTAAGTCTTTGCACTGGGCCACAAACACGTGCAGCTCCTTCAGTGACTCCACATAGTCCACTGCAAACTGGACATGTCCTTTCACTTCCAGATTGCCAAAGTCTCCACTATAAATACTCATCACACTGCCACTCACCTGGAGGCATCAGAAATACAATGTTTGTCTGTCTCATGTGTGAACACAGAGCAAGGATCATGAGCATAACCCCTGTTTAACCTATTTTTTCTTTTCTTTTCTTTTTTAAGGTCAGTTGTGGGGATTGAACTCAGCCTGGGTGCTGTCCCTCAGCTCTTCAGCTCAACGCCAGTGCTCTACCACTTTGGTTTTCTGGTGGTTAACTGGAGATAAGAGTCTCATGGATTTTCTAGCCCAGACTGGCTTTGAACTGCGATCCTCAGATCTTAGCTTTCTGAGTAGCTAGGATTACAGATGTGAGCCACCAGCACCAGGCTTAACCTATTTTTCTAGGCTGCATACAAAAACAGTTGATTTAATATGTCATAAAAACAAAGACAACTTGACATGATATATAGGACTAGGAATTTTCAAAGTTGCTAAAGAAAAAAACAGATGAATAGTGAAATATAGTCATTTAGATGCCAGCTTATTTCAAAATGAGGTGCTTTTATGCTAGGTGGCATTCAGAGTTCTAGTTTTAGGCATTCATGGTATTTAAAATGCTAAAGAAAAAAGATGTGAGAAAGTCCAGGCACACAAATCACAGTGGCACATTGCTGAAATTTCCACAGCACTAAAAAGGAATTTTACCATGTTACCCATCCACTGAATCCAGGAAAATGCTTAGTGAGCCATGCACTTTTAGAGGTCAAGAAGGGTAGAAAATGGATGATTAATGAGGAGGGTTTAAAGCCTTCTCAAAGGCATACATTAGAGGGTCAGTAGAAAATCAATTTAAATAGATTTTTTTAAGCTTCAAAAATTCAAGGCTAGCAAGAATTTAAGCATGGCATCATTTATTTGGTATGTCTAGTGAAATACAAAAGCATGTATGTATATCAGCAAAATATTTAGATGAGTATATATCAGTATATTTATTTCCACCCACATACCATACACAAACCCAGCTACCTTGCTTTATGTGAATAGTTTCATGTAAAGTCAAATTCTCTTCAAATTTGAACAGCTACATTTAGGAACTTTCCTTTAAATGGAATTTGAATGCTTCTAGAAGGCAAAGAATCATCTCTCCTATTCTTATATGTGAATCAGTATTAAATTTTCAACAGGTATTTGATGGCAAATAGTATAAAAATCATAGCCAATATGAGTAAATTTTATAGTAGTCACCCTATTTGTTGTACAAAATATTAGTTGTTCAATCCATTGATAAGATAGGCTTATCTTTGAAGTACTTACATTCAATTTTTAAAAGTTATAATGTATATAAAACCCTCTATCCTAAAAAAGGGGTGAAGAAGGAGGTGGAGAAGGAAGAGAAGGAAAAGCAATAGGAGGAAGAAAAGGAGGTAAAAAAAGAAAAAGTTAGCTATTAAGCAGCTAGTTAATAATTAGAGAAAATGTCTGTGAAGTTTGAGAACTACAACAGGCTACTTCACAATGTGCAGGAATATGGTACAGCAAGGCTTGGACAACAGAGAGATATTAACAGGGAGCTTTTGTTTACATACAGAAGACAAGGACGTCATGCCAGAGGAACTGCTAAGATTGGTTAAAGAGCCCGGGCTCTTCTTGTGTCTGCTGAGCTGGTAACTGCTTTCTGATGCTGTGTCTGTTTCTCTGTCATCACTCTACAAAACATCATATAATATGAACAGTATTTAAATTCAGAATGAGTCAAAGACAGAATTTATGGTTAGGCAAGGACAATTATCTAGGTAATTACCAATTTATGACATTTCTCAAGGTCACAGGATACTAGTGCTAATTCCCAGGCTGGGAGTTAGTGGTGCAGGCTGTAGTTGATAATCTGCATTGTGCCTCACTTAAGGAAGAGGGCAGGGCACAGTGATCAAAATGGCAAAGTGATTTTCCACCTACAAGGTAGCCCCAGGGTGCTCTAAGAAACAGTACCACAAGGTAGTCCCAGGGTGCTCTAAGAAATAGTACCATTGTGAGCTTTCCAGTCACTCTTTAATACATACATTGCCTGGAGAACTTTAGTCATAAAGATTCAGAATGAGGGCTGGGAAGGTGGCTCAGTGGTAGAGTGCTTGCCTTGCATGCCTGAGGCCCTGCACCACATAAGCAAAAAGAAAAAAGCCGGAAGTGGCGCTGTGACTCAAGTGGTAGAGCGCTAGCCTTGAGCTGAAGAGCTGAGGGACAGCGCCCAGGCCCATAGTTCAGGCCCCACGACCGGACCCCCCCTAAAAAAAAACAACAACAAAAAAAAGAGATTCAGAATGAGCTCCTACGGGAGTTACAGAGCTTATGGAGCACTTCAGAGGCTCCTGGGGTTATGGAGACATTAGTTCATGCCAACATATTCCAAGACCATGCAATTATTCATCAATATAATGGATGCCAATTCTAATGCAGATTAATAAGGGAGTTAAAGAAAAACAAAATTAATAACTGACATGGATAAGAAAAGACTCCTTTCTCAAAGATTATAAAACATCCACACCTTTTAAATGTCTTTGTCATACTCTTTCCCCACATGAATAATTCTCTATTATAGCACATATGATATTCTACCTAGTGTATCAGATCATGAGTAAATTACTGGAAGGATGGGATCCTGTCTTGTTGATCTGGAACAATCTTTTTATTTTCTCATATAATTAGCACTCAATCAATGTGGATAAAGTTAAGTCTCAGAAGACAGTGAATCCTACATCCTCTAATATCTAGTCCAACCCTAAACACTTTGAAAAACTGACCAAGTTTAATTTTGGCCTCTCTAATAAACAATTTCAAATAATTTGAACATTCTTCTAGGTAGGGCTATGACTCAACAAGTTAAAACTGAATGAGAACATTTTAAAAACTGCTATAGTTTCGATCTCAAATTAGTATATGGTTCATTCCTATGACCCACCAACCCCGCCTCCACCTCATCCAGACCAAAGTGGGTCTACAATGGTATAAAAGCCACAGGAACTTCAGAGATGTTCACAACTTGATTCTAGCTAGTGATTGAATTCTAAAAATTGAGTAATTCTTTCAAAAGGAACACTGTGGGATCTTAAACGTGTGTGAGGACTGAATATGTGCAGATACAGCTCTTCTTAAGACCAGAATGGACAGAAAAGTATCCAGGATTGGAGAAGAAGGGTGTGTAACTTATATAACACTCAGAATTTTCTTTCTATTCTTGCTAAGAAAAATCAGAGTAAAAGCTAAAATCGCACATATACTGGATACTCATTATTTGCCAGGTACTGTGCTGTGCATTTTTCCTAAGTTAGTCTACTGATGTCTGCATGTGGTGGTTAGGGACTAGGTAACCAGACTCGGGGAGACTCAATTATTTGTCCAAGATTGATCACATAGCAAGTTAGTACTTGCTCACTTGGAATCTGACCTCAGACCTTAGGCTAACAACCTGACTACAAAAACATGAGACCTGTGGCTGGGAAGGTGGTTCAGTGGTAGAGTGCTTGCCTTGCATGCATGAGGCCCTGGGTTTGATTCCTCAGCATCACACAAACAGAAAAAGCTGGAAGTGGTGCTAGGCTCAAGTGCTAGCCTTGAGCTGAAGAGCTGAGGGACAGCACCCAGGCCCAGAGTTCAGGCCCACAACTGACAAAACAAAAAAAAACATGAGACCTTATTTGGGTCAAAAGATATTTGGGTCAAAAGATTCCAAATGCCCGGCACTGGTGGCTCACACCTGTAATCCTAGCTACTCAGGAGACTAAGGTCTGAGGATCACGGTTCAAAGCCAGCCCAGGAAGGTCCATGAGACTCTTATCTCCAATAAACCACTAGAAAACTGGAAGTGGCACTGTGGCTCAAGTGGTAGAGCACTAGCCTTGAGCTTTAGAGCACAGGGACAGCGCCCAAGCCTAGATTTCAAGCCCCACGGACCACCACCACCACCACCAACAACAACAACAAAAAAAGATTCCAAATCTACTTATTAGTAGCTATTAGATTTTGGAAAAGTGACTCTGAGGGTCTTTCCTCTTCTTTTAAAATGGCAGAAAATAGTCTTCTTCTCCAATCCTGGATACTTTTCTGTCCATTCTGGTCTTCAGGAGAGCTGTATCTGCACATATTCAGTCCTCACACATGTTTAAGATCCCACAGTGTTCCTTTTGAAAGAATTACTCTATTTTTAGCATTCAATCACTAGCTAGAATCGAGTTGTGAACATCTGGATATTGGAATGAGTAGTAAGTGCCTGGTACATATACATACTAAGTACTGAACTTACTGGTCATGTTGTTAAGGCAGTAGGTGTAAGTGCCTGCCATATACAAGGGACTCTATATACTTGTCATGGTCATAAGGTAGTATGATGATCTGCATGAGAATCAGGTCTGGGATCCAGTTCTGGATCAACTTCACCAACCTTGTTCTCAGTTTCTTTACTTGTGATACTTGAGTATAATAATCTTCCAGGATCATTGGAGGATGAAATAAAAGAATAAATGTAAAATCTGCTGTGTCACCATTATTTTTTAACAAATGCTTTCAAGGTAGTCATATTGCCTAGACTAAGTCAAATCAGCTCCAAGCTACAGAAGGGTAGCTAATTCCTGCCAACATATTTCTCCCTGGATTTCTTGTTTTGTAACAAAAGTCACATTCCCAAATCTAGGCAATCTGACTTCACTACCAAAAAAGAATTTCTGTTTGAGTCACATGAGATGTTCTATGCCTAGTTCCAGGACCAACAACACTGCCTCCATTGACTTGGAAGCAAGGGTCGGTCCTGCTGTCCTCTTTGGTCCCTGCTACAGTGGAACACAAACAGTCCAAGCAAATATGCCTGTTTGGCTCCATTCTCCTGAAGGTATAAAAAACAAGACTTGCCTCATCTTGAAGAAATGCTGGAACAGACTTGCTCATCCTTTTGAGTTTGTCAGGATAGGAAAACTGATTATCCGGTTGTGAAGGCACTGTGGAAACTAAACAGCAGAATTTGATTTCAAATTATTCTTACAATGGTCAGATAATAGACATAAGCTGAAAAACACACTTATTTTTCAATTTATGAATAAATGCACTGGGCAAATAGGTTAAAGGCACAGTAGTTCACATGCACAGGACTGTGAGGTAAGCAACATGCTGTTTTAATAAACTATATAGAGAGAAAAAAAGAGAAGAACAAGGAATTGAACCAAATTGTAAATATAAGTTATTTTTTAAACTAGTTCTTGTTGAACTAGAGCTGGGCTCCAATTACTAAAACATTTTATCAATATGAATTGGTTTTACTTATGTTTTAAAAATATCAGACCTATGAACTCCAAATTCTATAAGTTATTGGTTCATCTCCTCAAGAAACACTGTATGACCAGCATGCTGCAGGATGAAAAACTATTTCATTTGAACAGTAAGTATCTTTACACATAACTCAACAATGGAAGTGTTCTTGGCTTTTAGATGCTTAGGAGCAAGCTTGTTTACTTAATGATCATGAGGTTTCTTTTTCTCACAGTGTTTCTGACTCAGAACTATGAAAAGTAAAAATTAAAAACTGTTTCTGACACAGGCACTGTTGACTCATGCCTGCAAGCCTACTTTAGAAGGCTGATATCTGAGGGTTGTGGGTCAAAGCCAGCCTGGACAGGAAAGTCTGTGAGACTCATCTCTAACACCGAAAAAGTCTCACATGGAATTGTGGCTCAAGTGGTAGAGTGCTAGCCTTGGGCAAAAAATCTCAGGGTCAGCACTCAGGTCCTGAGTTCAAGTCCTAGGTCCGGTACCAAAAAAGAAAATTCTGAAAACACACATTAGTTTAAATAAATTTGAATATCCCAAGGCCAAGTTTAAATGGTTTAAGCTAGACCATTCTATGAATTTATTTTTTTCATTATTTAGAGAAGACTTTATTAGTTTCTGTAATCAAACCCATATAGATAAGACCTTACACATATAAGACAGTGTTTACCCCTGTACAAGTGAAAAAAATAAGCTTCATTATTCTATGAATATGAAAAATATAGCACATGTATTTTCTGCTATAGTGAATACATGTGTGAATGGCACAGAAAGAGGTTGTATTCTAACCCTAATGTGCACAGCTCTAGTTAGAAAAGTATTTTCTTGGGGGGAGGGGGGAGGCTGGGAAGGGATGTGAAGGGTAAACAAAGGAGGAGGCTGCAATGCTTGGTAAGAAATGTACGCATTATCCTGCCCATGTAATTGTAACTCCTCTGTACAGTATGTTCACAAATAAAATAAAATTAAATTAAAAAAAAAAAAAGAAAAGTATTTTCTCCCTTGTCTAAGAGTCATATTATCTGAGCTTTTCTTATGGTAAATCATAGCTCTTACAACAAAAGTTAATATTTTCCAAAGTATTTAGGTGCCTGACACATAGATTTTATATAATTATTTTCTAAATAAAAATGTTGCCTGATACAGTATCCTTAAATTATATTGTGAACACAATGAAAACGTAGTAACTTGGCTTATCCTTAAAAGTGATATTAGGAAAACAGATCCAAATAAAATTTCATTCCTATATAGAAATCAAAAGACTCAAATTTACCATAAGCATTAGCTAAATTCATCTTTAATTTAAAAAAATCATGCAGGCAAATCGAATTTGAACTAAATATATGCTTACTCACATATGAATTTTCATCTAGTTTTAGGTACACAAAGGTAAATGTACAACAAAACCCATTCTTCATGTCTCTTCCTATTGAACAACTCTCTCTTTTTCCATCTTTGTGTGTGTGTGTGTGTGTGTGTGTGTGTGTGTGTGTGTGTGTGTCAGGGTGAGTTACTTTGGTAGCACAAAGATTAGGTTGCAGTGTATGGGTCAATGAGACTAAAACTTTTTGGTTGCAATCCTTTCCTATTATAATTAAAGTTAGATGAAGGCATGCCACTATTTAAATATCATGAATTTTATACTTGTGGGCTTTCATTATATATGTTTTGATTCTATATTTAATTTTATCTTATGAAGAGAACATATTATGTGCTAATAAAAGTCACTAAGAAAGCTGGTGCTGGTGGCTTGTGCCTGTAATCCTAGCTATGCAGGTGGCTGAGATCTGAGGATGAAGTTTCAAACCCAGCCTGGACAGGAAAATCAGCTTCTTATCTCCAATTAATCACCAGAAAACCGGAAGTGGTGCTGTGGTAGAGTGCTGCCTTGAGCAAAAGAGCCTGGGGATAGCACCTAGGTCCTGAGTTCAAGCCCCACAAGCAACCAAAACAAACAAACAAAAAGTTACTAAGATTCATTTTTGGAAAATAGTGCTAAAAAGAGAGCAATTGATTGAGTCCAAATTTAGCACAAAACTGGTCTATTTGCCTTGACCAATAACTAAGCCAATTAAGAGATCTTGAGTGAACACAGAGAAACACAAGCATATGCATATTTGGCTTTTTCATTCCTCAGGCTAACTATTGAACAAAACATAGCAAGATAAGGTCAAAGGGCCAAACTTAAGCATTTCCCAGTTCAAAAGCAACACCTCTTATGGTCTTATTTTGTCTGCAGCATCCAGAAATCACATACTCACAAGGGCCAGGCCTGGACTGTCTTCCTTCCTAGGCAGCTCTTAAGAATTTGTCAAGTCATGTGCCAGAGCTCAATTCTCCATTGCTTGCAGGAGGACCTTATGAGCAGTGTCAGATTACATGCTAGATGTCATGACTTCAGCATCAGCACATTGATTCCCTAGCTAATGGCTCCCTCCTTTAGCTGCTCTCCTCATTATTGTCTGTCAGCACACGCAAAGGCTGTGAGGAAATTACTATTAAAATACCATGGAACCAAGGGCAGAGGTATGTGAGATTATCTTCATATTTCCAGCGTTTCTAGGTTTCTAGGTTTACAAAATGGATAGAAATAGGGGAGCTAAGAAACCACACATGCTTTGCTTGGCCCCACAGAATCTTTATGTGTTATTTGTCCTAAAGATAGTGATTGTGGGCCAGATGCTGATAGCTCCTTCTTGTAATTCTAGCTACGCAGGAGGCTGAGATCCTGAAGATAGTAGTTCAAAGCCAGCCTGGGCAGAAAAGTCCATGATATTCTATCTCAAAAATAATTTTTTAAAAAAAAGCAGGTCTGGAGATGTGGTTCAAATGGTAGCCTGTCAGCCCAGCAAACAAGCAAGCTAGGTGAATGTGAAGCTTTGGGTTCAAACTCTAGTACCACTAAGAAAAAAAGAAAATAGTCACTGCTAAGTAATCTTAAAAATTGAACAAAAAAGAAGAAAAAAACCATGATCTTTGCTTAGTGTTGCACATTAATTAGCTAATGGACATTAGTTGTAGAAGTGTGTTTATTTCTTAGACTCAGGTGTCCATTTATCTTTTATCTTGATTATGTACTGTTTGTATCTAATTTTAAACCTCAAAGTTTAAATCCTTGATACAATATAATTTGTAGAAATGTAGAGAGGTATATTCAACTATACTACATACTAATTTGTCAAAGTTAAGTTCATGTTTTGGTTCAAATAATTAATAAATTGCTTTATAACTACAGTTTTGTATAGAGCCCACAAGAGATTCAATACTTAAGACCATACTGCAACTCAAAGCCCACTGATATCAGAAAGTGCTAACTTGATTTTAAGCAAAAACTCAAGAAGAGCAGAGAGATAGCTAGACCCTGGTGGCTTATGCCTGTAATCCTAGTTACTCAGGAGGCTGAGATTTCAGGATCACAGTTTGAAACCAGCCAGGGCAGGAAGTCCATGAGACTCTTATCTCCAAATAATCACATAAAAAGCTGGAAGTGGCTTAAGTGCTGGAGTGTTAGCCTTGAGCAAAAAGGAGCTCAGGAACAGTGCCAATGCCTAGAGTTAAAGCCCCAGAACCAGCAAAAAAAAAAAAAGAGAGAGAGAGAGAGAGAAGAGAAATGGACAAAAAGTCAATGGTATACAGTAATAGCAACATACATAATATATACATGTATTAGATATATGCCCCTTCCCTTAGTGAAATCACGAATTATTCTTCCAACAAATAGTAATGAAGTTATTTTAAAAACACTTATCAAAGTGAAATAGCTTTGCAAGCTGCAGGAGTTTAGCAATAATAAGTGCTATGGTATGAATGAGTTAGTTCAGGACATTGAATACTGTGTAGATTGGAATAGTTAAACAATTGTGAAGAAGATCCTGCTACTCACTTCCTGGTATGCATTCATTTGTTTCTGGTTCCTGATCTGTTTTTTTATCTACTCAGGAGAGTAACATAGAGAACAAATAACATTTTAATAGAAGGGTTAAACAGTCATGAAAGTAAAGCTCAAATGTCAGTTTTACAAATGAAATTGCAGAATACATCTGACAGGTTTTTCAGCTTGCTTCATCCATATCCCTGTGTGACTCCATTAGCCTCTTTATTGTCTCCTGATCACGTAAAAAAATCTAAGTTCCAGGATCAGAGGGCACGGTGGGTTTCCTATAAGTTGCTAAACCAAAGCATGAGTAGGGGCAGGTACACTAAACAGGGAGCAATGAAGCTGGGATTCCATTCTCTGCTCTCCCATTGACTGAGTAGGATACAGGATCTTAGAAAAGTCAGACAATTCCTCCAACCTTTACTAATCTGAGAAATCAATATGAAAATCCTGCCTACTTTATTTTAATGACATAATTAGAATGATCTTTGAGGAACTTTATCACTACATTTTGTATAGGAAAGCTCAGTAAATATACATTTTTATAGTTATAGCAAGAGCAATTTAGAAAAAATGCAAAATCTAGCATACAAATAAATTACACATAAATTGCATAAATTCAGAACTAGTCCCTATTAATTTTTTAAGCTGAACCAAGTAATATAAATGACCCACAGACAATCTTTGACATCTCTGATTCCTTAACATTCCGATCAATTAATTCTACCCTCAGTCTAGTCTTTATCCAAGCATAGGCAGATTTCCTGACCCTTATTCTGGGACCATTTCTTTTGATCTTAAGACTTTACTAGCTGTTTCCAGATACCTAAATGCTAAGACTTGAGACTCAAACACAGGATTCATTTAACCCAGAACTTGCTCTACACTTCCTCGTCTTCAAAAAGAGTTTTGCAAGTCAGAGTAGTAAAAATCAACTCATATCCACAGAAATACAATTTCCTATTTATAGCAACTTTTGCTTCCCCAAGAGTCTGTGATGCGATCCTCCCAACAGTATCTCCAGCAAAAGCCTTAAGAATACAAACAGTACTAAAGGCACCAAGTCAGAAGGTTTTAATAACTTTGGTATTATTTAGTATATAGTAGTAAATGCTATTCTTCTCTTTATTCATCATCACCATCCCCATAACTGCCTAAATCACCCAGAAACTTAAAACACAAACAAACATGCAAATACATAAAGATATTTACCATCTTCAGCACTATGCACTAAATCTTCTGGCAGAATATCTACTTTTGCTTGTTCTGTTCAGGAGAAATTAACAAATGGTTAGCATGGCTGACCCTTGCAGAGAAAAGAACAATGAGATGGTCCCTGGAAGCTCCCGGAGTTGGAACCAATTAATCCAGATGCAGTGAGGGGTGCGACCAAGATGTCTTCCCCCAAATACTTTCCCTTTAGATGAGCTCCTTGAGCCAGTGCCATAGCGCAAACTCCCATTCAGCTTGATGCAGCTCACATCAGCACATTGCTTGCTGCACACTGACTCCCAAGGGTTAGAGGGTTAGCTCAGAGCAAGCAGTCAGCCAGCAGCAGAAGGAAGCACAGGACTGCAATAGCTTATCTATTCTTCTGCAAAGGGTAAGATGCTAGCCATGACTAACATCTTCCCAAACCTATGGCCATTAACAAATACTTGTGTGTGTGCATCATCGTTTGCATATGCCGCTGAGAGACTTGCTTGGGAAGTCAACTTAAGAGCTGTAACTGGGAACCAGCTGCTAAGTGGAATCTTGGCAGGCTAGTGTGAGAGTGGGTATCGGTATTTAGAAGGGAGTGTGCAAGAATACCGGTCAGCTGATGGTGATATTTTTTTTTAACCCTACAAATTCCTGAGAACTTTAAAGCTGCACCATGGAAATAGCTCCATCCTTCTGAAGGCAAGAGGTTGGCTAAATTGAACAATTGGTGTTGAGGAGCCTCCCTTGCCCCTCCCCCCACCCTGCCCCAGGCTCATCACCAACATAAGTCATAAAAATTAGGGCTGTTCAATAAAAGATGGTATTGGCCTTCTCTGGAAGCATTCAGGCTGGGTAGGGGCTGATCACCTGTGGAGGAAGCTTTAGGGGATCTTTCTGGGCTAGGAGGAGATCAAAATGGGTAACTTTCAAGGTACCTCCTAGCTCTGAGATTTTGAGACCCTTTGGAGGGCTAGGAGTGCATTCCAAATTGGGGAATATTGTCTTCAGAGCCTTGGGAGTCCCTGAATCGCAGATACTTTCATATGAAGTAGTTTTTCCTTGCTTCTAATTAAACTCTGACTTATTTATTTGCTGTAAGTCACCCTTACAGATGTCTCAAAATCACTCCAAACCCAGAACTTCAAACTAGTTAAGAACAAACCCTCTAGAAGTCATGTTTTCTAAGTCCATTTGCCTATCAAACTGCCTAGCACACAGTCCCTACGTACATTATACTTTCTATCTGCACATAAGAAATCCTTCACCAATTGAGACAGCAGCCAGTGAAGAAAAGGAAACCTAATGTATTGTGAGTTAGTCTTTGTAGTCCCAGTATCCAAAAGAAAATGTGTGGATAGAAAAGATGGGATAAGAGAGAAAAGAAAGCCCTTGAACCAGGGACTAATTCTACTTCCTAACATGCAAAATTCATTGGACACTCAACACTGTCATATATATCAGAGCCACTTCAAAATGCTGCTGGCAATAATCCATTAATTTTGAGTCCCAGGTATGCTGTGTGACAGTAAGAACACGACTTTTTATCTCCAAGCTTCAGTTTTACAAGTTATACAACAGGGAAAACAACAACTCATCTCTCACTGGGTTGCCTGTATTGGTTAAATGAGGGCAACTGTGTAAAATTCTTAGACAAATTTGGGCAGATACTCAATAAGCCATTTGTAATGAATACTAAACTACTAGCTACCACAATCCTTTAAAACTCACTGTACTTGAGTAAACACTCAATGCAATCCAAAGAGACCTAGGCTTCTAAGAATCAAAGTTCATACATTATCTTAAAAGCAAAGTTCAAGACATTTAAGTGTGAGCCTCTTCAGCACACTTGTGAGAGGTTATTCTCATCAGTTAACCCCTGCAATGGGATTTCAGTGCATGGCAACATGCAGTGAGACCACACAAGAGCACATAAGCAACTTTAAGCTCAGATGAGGTATAAACAGGGGGGCAAACTTTATTCTCACTTGATGAATCTGATGAAATGTCTTCTAGACTTTTGGAAGGCATTTTCCTAGAAGCACTCTTTTCCAAAGTTTTCAAAACAGGACTGGGTTCTTCTTCTGAACCTGTTATAAGACAAAACTGATGAACACTGCACAATACAAAAGGAAAAATAACCTTTTCATAACCAGTGAACATGGAGACAGTAGGTTGTAAAGGCTATAAGTCTCCCTACTTTGATTTGTTCTAAGTGCTTTTTACTTCATGGAAGAAAAAGTAAAAATTTTGAACTATTAATATTCTCTTTAAATATAATTTCCCTGGTCAGGAAATATTCTTACATAAGCATTACAGAAACAAGATTACCACATTAATAGGAAAGTGTTTTCCTAGTTGTTTGCAGCTCTCTATTTTAGGCACATGATTTATTTTGCACCCATCTTTGAATCTTCCCACTTAACATTCTAGCTTTTGAAGATAGCACTGAAATGAATTTAGAAGCATTAGAAAAGTTAGCTGAAAACCACAGAAGGCAGCATTCAGATGTTCAACATCTGTATATAATCTGGTGCACAGATGGGTGTCTTTCTGGGTCAGTAGGTGCAGGCTTTCTGGATTTCATGACTTTGTTAAAATCTCAACCAAATAAGGGTAAATAAATGAGGTAGTCAACTTTTTATTTAATCAAGTCATTTGGAAGGGGAAGGGGTAATCCTATCATTTATTAATACTATTGTTCTAAAATAAAATGTTTTAGACCAAAAAGAGGAAAAGAGGAACATAGTTTCAGAACAGAATCAGAACAGTCCTTAAATTAAATGCACTTAATTTTTTTTAATCTAAATTTTCCTTAATTTTTCTTTTGACAGTGAAAACTCTTATCATGGTTAAGCCTGCTTTGAGGATGGACATTTATTACTGTCTAGTCTCAGTGCAATGACAATAGACACTTGAAAAATATTTCCTGAATCAATGAATCATTCCATTAATGAATTAGTGAGTTTAAGAACCACTTTTCTAAACAATAATTTAATGAAATGCATTCTAGTCCCTGCCTAATGTTAATATGCATGACAGAGCAAATGGATTCTAGGATCAATTTGATTTGGGATGTTCAAGGTTAAACTTTAAGAGATATCTTATTAAAATCCTCAGAGATTTGAACATGCTAATAATGTACATAATCCTCCAGCATTTCAAAAAGGATTTGACCATAGAGACTCCCTCTCCAAAGGAACATATTGAAGTACTAGCTAGTGAAGAACTCAGCCACAAGTAAACATGTCAGATCCCTCATCAAAATTAAGGTAACTTTGTAGTAAGTTTCTTCCTTAATGCCCAGCCTTCCTCTGCCAATTTGCCCTAAAATAGTCATTTAGGTCAGAAGATATAAAACAAGGACTGTACCTTTTTATACCTCTTATTGGCTCATAATTTTTAATTATTTCCTCTGGCCTTGGTCCAGGTGATTATTTCATACAATTTCTTATTTAGATATACTTTTTGTTCTTTAATCAGCAATGCCTATACACTGTTAAGTATGGCTACACACATTGGATAATAGCATCTATCTAGGGAAAATTTACAAGGTTCCTAGGGCAGTTTATCCTAGTAACTCATGGGACAGGGTATTAAGAGGATATCTCAGTAGGGTTCATGTTCTAGTTTTTTTAAAGTAACATTTGTGGCCAGGCACTGGTGACTCATGCCTGTAATTCTAGTTACTCAAGAGGTTAAGATATGAGGATCACAGTTCAAAGCCAGCCCAGGCAGGAAAGTCTGTGAGACTCTTATCTCCAATAAACTCCTCAGAAAAAGCAGGAAGTGGTACTGTGGCTCCACTGGTAGAGCACTAGCCTTGAGCAAAAGAAGCTCAGGGACAGGGCCCGGACCCAGTGTTCAAGCCCCAGGACTGGCAAACAACAAACAAACAAACAAAAAGTAACATTTGTTAAAAGGACTTCAGTGTTCAAGATGGCACACTACAGCTACTTTCAAAAGAACTCAGTCACTCAAAAAGGCTTATCTAATTTCATTGAGACTGTAGTCCATTAAACTACAAGGAAGGAGATTAAGAGCAGCTGTTGTACAACTTCAGTTAAACCGTCCCAGCCAGAGAGCATTATATACCATTTCATCACTGTTCATTCAGGCAATTCTTTATTCTCTACCAAAAAAAAAAAACCCTCAAAGAAATAATCAGAACAGCAAATGAAGACAAGCTTTATGCTTTATAGTCTAATAGAAACAACCACCCTTAGGTCCACTTGGGTGAATGTGAGTGTGGATAAAGATCATTAGCTAAGCCAGAGAAATGGACCACACCAGGCAACTCATTCAGTGGAGTCAGGTGAATTTATCTGACCCAAATCATATTCTAGAAGGTGAAGATTCTACAGATATCTGAAAGTAAGAGAGAAGGAGTGGCAGCAAAAAAATACCACAGCACAAAGTATTGGAGGAAAGGGAAGTTCTGCTTTATACTTTGTCCTGGATATTTAGCCAAAATTGCAGTAAAACACTGCTCTTACTTGCGCTCTTTGGTGCTACTTTCTTAACTTTGACTAGAGATTTCACTTAATATTACTAGTTAAGAAATTTCAATTAGTTCTAGGAGGAACCTCACAGTTGAAGGTGCCTTCTAAACCCAAAAGATTATTTTTAAATACTAAAATTCTACAGGTAGATATATTGAGAAATAAGGTAGCCTTGTAGGAAAGCTGTTCCTATGTAATTCACCTGAATAAACAACGTAAGTGAATTTTTTTTTTTAAATAAGAAAGGCTCAAGAGAACTAAAGTAAGAAAAAGAATGTAGCATTACTGGGATCATCAAGTTAACCCAATTTTTTAAAAAAAGGTATCCTTTACATTAGAATTTCATGAAGCAGACTTATAATGAATTTTAAAAAATCAAAAATGCTCACTAGAAGTACTTCTCCAGCTTTCTGCATTAGAAGTGGTGTTTCTATCCGAAAAGTCAGAGTCAGAGAAATTGCCTTTTTCTTGCTCTTCGTCTTGTCTCTTATATTCAACTTCATTTGCTTTTGGAGAGTTTTCTTTGTTTGTCCAGAGAGGGACAGGTTGCTTCTTTCTGGACCCACTAATTACTTTAGAAGCCTCTTCAAAGCCAGGCACCTGGAAAGGCCCTTGTCTCCCTGCAATATCACTTTCCTTGTCCCCGCCCTCTGGGGGTCTTATCATTTTAGTGGCCCCAATTTCATAGTCCTCAAGTCGTGAGGTTCCAGGGGTCTCTATATCACTTGCAGAACCACAATGATCTACCAGTAAATCAGCCACAGCTTCAACTCCCCCGACAAGTTTATCACACTCTTTGACTTGGGATTCCAGATCATTCATTTTGCCCTTCATTTTAGAGGCTCCTGAGGCTGGGCAGTAAACATGGGGCATTGTCCCCAAGACTCTAGATGGCTCTGACTGTGAGGGCCCCTTCTCAGGAGCCTCTTCCTCCACCGACAGCTCGAGCGAATAAAGAGGAGCTTCAGATACTTCTTTAAGTAGTTTCTCAAACCCAGTATCAAAAGCACTCTCAGTGATTGTGGGAGCCTCGATCTTTTCTACTGTTTCTTGCACTTCCTCAGGATGGATTTCAGAAGCAATGTGCCTGTCAGCACTACCTTTTATCTCTGATGAAGAAAGCATCTCTGGATCCTTTCCATGTGTTGATGGGGAGGTTTCTAGTGTTTCCCTCAGTTTTTCCCTCAGGAGTTTTTCTAAGCCAGTGCTGAATTCAAGGCAGCATTCTGATCTAGGTTCAATAATTGTTTGCCTCACCATTTCTGCCACTTCCTGAGGTAGTTCTATGTTATTCTGAGCCACAGTGGAAACAGATGAGCAAACGAGCTGTTCTGATGGAGATATTTGGGTAGCTAAATAAGATCTGTATTCACAAGCTTTATCAGGAACTATTTGGGAGGAATTACGAACAACTCTGTCCACTGTAACCTTTGGTGGGGCCACTCCCAGAGGACTTGGGAAACTACCTGCTACAGAGTTTCCTTCAGGAAGCTCTGCCTTCACTCCTCCAGGAACTGCTTCATTTCCAGGTGGATAACTCAGGCCAGCCTCTTTTAATAGCCTCTGTAATGTAGTATTTACATCAGCCATCACAGGTGTCGATGGAAGAATGATTTTCTCTATGGTCTCTGAAATTTCCTTTTGGGAGGGCAATGCCCTATCCTGGGGAGCCAGATGAGCATCCCAAGTAAAAGGCACATCTTTTGGCGAGTGAGTCTCATCCTCAAAATAGTGCTTTCTGCAAGGAGGGGAGGCCTGCTCCAGCAAAGGGGGTCCTTTTTCAGCCATTTGAAGCAAGCCTTCCCTGTGGAGCTCGCACTCACCACTATCAGCCTTCTGGGTGAAGGCTACATTTCCCAAAGTGGCATCCTCTTCTTGAAAAGGAGCTATTACCTCTCTCAGATAGGCTGAAGCATTGGGATCTTGTTTTGTTCCCTCTTCACAAAATTTGCCTTCTTCAGGCTGAGAGTTGGTTCTAGTGGTAATAGGTTCCAATGTGCTTTGCAGGGTAGAGTATGAAGCTCCAGTTGCTTCTTTCAGAAGTTTGTCTAGACAAGCAGCCAAAATGTCCTGTTTGAACTTTGGAGGGGCTACTGTTTTGTCTACACGCTCTTCAATGAGCTCTTTAGCGGTGATCTCCCTAGGTTCTTTGAGGTCTTCCTCAATAAGAGAATAATGTGCCTTTTGAGGCCACGTCCTAGTTTCAGAAATACCTGGCTTGAGTTCATATTTTCCACGAACTTGTCCATCGAAAGGTTGAATTGGAGGCAATGGAGCTAAACTGTCATTAAAAGTGACTTTGTCATCAATAGACAAAATTCCCATTTTCACTATGGATTCTTCAATCTCTTGAGTTGAGTAATCTGTTTCCTTCTTAATCACTGGAGTGAGCAACCATTCTGAATTTTTTTCCACATTTTCCTTGGATAGCTCATTTCCTGCCAACTGATGAGTGGACATTCCTAATGGTTTCAGCCGAAGTGTGGTTTCATCTGGTAGCACCTGGAGCGTGCACTTTGAGTTTAATTTCTTCATTTCCTGTCTTGCCATAAGGTTTTTATGGTTTAAAAGTGCTTCTACTTCATGAACATTTTTTCCTGATGATTTAGTATCATTGAATTCTTTGTGTTTCTGGTCATTCAAAAGTGTAGGTTTTGTGAGATTTGTAGTGTTCTCAAAATTATCCTTACTGTTTGCTCCTAAGTCCCAAAACTTTCTCAGATTCTCAAACTGTGAGTGATGATGGACTTGCTCAGTATTGGGTCCAGCTGTTCTTTCCTTTAGGGACATCACTTTAAAGTTGGCGTTTGATTCACCAATTGGAAGTCTACTTTTCTCCAAAGGAATCTGTCTTTCCCTCTCAGTATTTGAGGTACTGGGTAGTGCTGGTAAAGTCCTATCTCCTGCAGAGCACCAACTGTCTTCAACTGGCAATTGTTTTACAGACTTCTTCTGAAACACAGACAATTTTTCTGACAGGCCAGCTGAAGGAGAGTCTTTGGATGGATCTGGTATTTGGGGCCTGGGCTCTTCAAGTTGATTTGAGGAACAAACACTGGAGATATGGGGTACTTGGTCATTGTCATCAAGCACCACTCGCTTGGCAGTGACTTGACAATATTCATTCATATCTGTCGCCATGCCCTGTGACTTCAAAGGTTGGTATGTTTCAGCACAAGGTTGTTTCTGGCCACTTGAAGGTATGGGCTCTTTATGAGTTAAGTTAGCCGCAGGTTTCTCTCTTTCCCAAAAAGATATTCTTTCACTCACTCTTACATATTTCTCTCTTTGTGCTTGCTTCTTGGGAACCTCGCTAGCATCTTGCCAAGGAGATCCCCCATGGGCAGCCCCAGGGGACATATGCCTAGTCTCTGTCTCTAAGGAAGCCTGAAGGATGGAACTATTTCCTTTTTTGTTCTTTATCTCTGCTTCCACATCGTCCTTCAAATTTGGTTTGTGGGCAAATGTCCATGAGTGAAGATTCACTTGGGTGTTTTCTCTATTTTTTTCTTGGACAGGAAGTTTGGGTTCTCCTTTGCCCAAGCTGCCAATATTCTTAGAGTTGCACAGAGCTTGCACTTGAGAGTCAGATCCTTGGAGAATGCTGCAGGAGTAATTACTGGGTGCAGCAGGTGACCCATTTCCTTTTCCAGTGCTTATTGAATTTTGGCTAACGTCCATAGTTTTACTTCCTTGACTTGAAGTATCATAGCTTTCAAATGGTATACTCAGATCTTTCCCTGCGGTGCCTTGTTGAGATAAATTCATAGATTCAGATTTGCTATTCATGTTGTTATCTTTACAGTTTTCAGAAAGCAGCATATCTCCCTCTCTTTGAAATGTTAAGTCAGGTTTCACAGGCTTCAATGTAACTTTGGTAGGTGATAGGGCCTTTGAGTCATTTTCTTTTAGACTGACATTCTCCATCTCCAAGGCAACAATATCCTTCAATGGTGAGTCTGCTTTTTCTTTGGTCTCTATTCCTTGGGAATGTTGGAAGGATGGGTTACTGTCATCTGAATGAGAACTTCGGTTAAACCAGTCTAGGACTTTAGATATGGAATCATCAGTTGTCTTCCTTATCTCACTGACTTGTGAACCAGAGCATAAGGATGTCTTAGCCTCAAGAAGAGGGAGCTTACCTTGCTGATGGTCTCTAGAACTGTGATCCAGTACCTGAGATGGCTCAGGCTTAATACAATGAGACAGTTCATCTGCAACACAGAAATGCTTTTGTAAATAAGAGAATACTTAAGGAATTATTCAATCATTCACATTATTTTTTGTAAAAGGTACTTTGGTTTGCACTTGTTATACCACTCAGTTTGTAGCAGTATTTTTTCAGAGGTTGTAATAAGCCATTCTAAGTGGGTATTTACAAAAGGGACTCTATAAAGACTCTATAAAGACAGGCAAATGTAGACCCCTGAAAGTAGTGTGTAGACCTTGTTAGGCCATTTCTTTGAAATCCTTGGCTTCTTTTAAAAATTAATGTGGATCTTACATTCTGCTCCAAGTTATGCATTAAATATTAATTTTCTCCTGCCTTCAAATCTCTGTACAGACACACTCCAGGAAGATACAGCATGCTGATTCTATGCTTCCCTCATCCCCTGGCACATGACCTTAAACACTAAAGGGGGCTTATTACCAAGTGTGAAAAGCACAACCTTAAGTGATTTCAGCAGTTAGTAAAACAACTTTTAAGTAAGACTGAACAATTCCTCCAGAACATGTAAATGAGGATATTTGCAAAGTTGGGTCTTATTCCTGATACAGGGAGTCAGAATTTCTATACATAGAGCCAGAGATTGCTCATAAAGACTCTGGCTGTTCCTACTGTTTGCTTTGCACACTGGGGTTTTAGAACCCAGATTTGAACAGGCCCACCATTGTGCCCCATTTCCTTTCTACCTTTTGTATGTGTGTGTGTGTGTGTGTGTTAGCTATTTCTGTGAACCCAGTGAGTGAGCTAAACTGAGGACTGATGTAGAATGTGATCCCCTACTCTGCTTCCTGATGTCAGCCAACCTAAGGCTAGTGGGCTGGAGAAGGATATTCGCTCTTTTTTTTTTTTTTTTTTGGTCCAGTTGTGGGGCCTGAACTCTGGGCCTGGGCACTGTCCCTCAGCTCTTCAGCTCAAGGCTTACTGCTCTACCACTTGAGCCACAGCGCCACTTCCGGCTTTTTTCTTTTTGCTTATGTGGTGCTGAAGAATCGAACCCAGGTCCTCAGGCATGCAAGGCAAGCACTCTATCACTGAGCCACTTCCCAGCTCCGATATTCGCTCTTTCTAAACCATCACAAAGGCAGAGTCCTTGCTGAGCCTGTCATATAAGACATCTGAATTCAGACATTTTGTTAACATCCATTAAGCATTTACTTCAGACTGTAGTTAAAACATGAATGTTTTAATAGTTCTCTCTTTTAAAGTGATATGCTATGTAACACACGAACAGGGATGTTCCTAAAAATTGTGTGAATTTTATGAAGTCAGCCACATTTCAAATGCAATAAAACACATGTAAATTCATGATATTTGATCTCTAATTTTAATAATCAATTCTGCCTAAGTATAAAATGACAAAGAGTTTGTAGGATAACTGACACATAGTTGCTACTTGTTTCCTTCTTTAAGGATATGGTTGTCTATTTAGAGATTGATGATGAAAAGAACTGATACACTATTATTGATTTAAAAAAGTCTAGGCAGGGGCTGGGAAGGTGGCTCAGTGGTAGAGCGCTTGCCTTGCATTCCTGAGGCCCTGGGTTCGATTCTTCAGCACCACATAAGCAAAAAGAAAAAAAGCTGGAAGTGGTGCTGTGGCTCAAGTGGTAGAGCGCTAGCCTTGAGCTGAAGAGCTGAGGGACAGCGCCCAGGCCCAGAGTTCAGGCCCCACGACTGGACCCCCCCCCCCAAAAAAAAAAAGTCTAGGCAGTATAAATGCAATTTATAAATTATATTTATACCTATAGATTTTTGGAAGAATCTACAGCTAACTGTTAGTTATGGAAGTTCTCACATTAAAAATAAAAAAAAAACTTTTTACCTTATTTTTTCTCAGTGTAAGATTCAGTGTGATACTAGCTTTCTCGCAGCTCAGAACTAAAGATAAACCCTTATGATTCATACCCTTAAAGTCTAGACTTTTGATCCTAATCATTTTTTGTTTGTTTGATGTTTCTTGGTGCCAATATTAGGGCTTGAACTAAGGGCTTCACACACTTAATCAGTTTTTTTGCTCATAGCTGGCTCTGTACTACTTGAACTAGGCTTCCAGTCTTGCATTTTTTGTGTGTGTGTGCTGGTCCCGGGGCTTGAACTCAGGGACTGGGAGCTGTCCCTGAGCTTTTGTGCTCTAAGGCTAGCACTATACCACTTGAGCCACAGCTCCATTTCTAGATTTTTATTACTTAATTGGAGATAAGAGTCTCACAGACTTTCCTGCCCAGGCTTTGAACCATGGTCATCAGATCTCAGCTTCCTGATTAGCTAGGGTTACAGGCATGAGTCACCAGCACCCAGCAGTTTTGCTAGCTACATTGGAGATGGAATCTTGTGAGCTTTCCTGCCTGAGCTGGTGTGGAACCTAAACCCTCTAAATCTCAGCCTCTTGAGTAGTAAGGTTTATAGATGTGAGCCACTATTATCCAGCCCTATTTTTAAAATATTCCAGTATTTACCTGTACACATCATTGTAAGAAGTCAAAGAGGAAAATAGGCATTAATGAATAAGCAAAATGTGTTGGTAAGTTCTCTTGTAACAGAAGGGCTGTTAGCCAAATGAACTGTTTCAGCTGATGTTTCCTCCTAAATTTAACAATCAACTAAGATTTAAGTCATGCCAAAACACATTAGAGGGGCATTAGCGATGGTAATTAGTAATTCTGAGGACTGAGGTATGATAATATTGTAAAATATGATTTAGAGCCATAGCTCTATACACCAACACTGCATTTGACAAGTGTTTCTAAAAATTAACATTTTCAGGGAATAGCACCCTGTTAGTGGTTTCCATTAAAGTAGAAGTACTTGCTCTCTGAATGAGACCATTTTGCCTGTTTTGGGAATGGGGTAGTCTGAGGAGTTGTCAAATTTTGGATTATGTTTGCTAGTTTAGAAGTAGCCAGTGGTTGAACTAGTGAGTAGATGAAAGAAAGTACAATGATTTTGTTTCTATGATAGATATTCTGTAAAAATCTGAAATGTTTCTTTCAGCTAGCTTGATGTGTCGATGCACAGACAAGTATTTTGCTTTTCTCACTGGCTATATTGTAATATTAAATGAGGTAAAAAAAATAAAAATCTGCCCTTTGATTTATTCAATGTTTTGGTTCAGAAGTTTTTTTTGTTGTTGTTTTGTTTTTGCCAGTTGTAGAGCCTGAACTCTGGGCCTGGGCGCTATCCCTCAACTTTCAGCTCAAGGCTAGTGCTCTACCACTTGAGCCACAGTGCCACTTCCGGCTTTTTTTTCCTGCTTATGTGGTGCTGAGGAATCGAACCCAGGGCCTCATGCATGCAAGATAACCACTCTACCACTGAGCCACCTTCCCAGACTAGGTTCAGAAGTTTTTAAGCTGTGTTCCTGCCTACTCTGCAAATGCAGCTTTGTAGTGGACATCCTCTTCAAAGGGGAAAGCTCCTTCTTATGTCTTATCACTTGACTTTCTTATGGCAGACCTTCACAAACCTTCAGACAGGATGGCCTGTACAATACTCCCTTCCTCCAAATACAGGAGCAGAAACCAACACTACCCCAGTCATGATGATCTAGGTTTAAAGCTGTAAATGTGGCCTCTAGTCCTAGACTTGTGGTGTATACTTTTGTGTATTCATGTATAGGGAAGGGTCAGTTACTTGATGGTTTGGGGAGTCTATCTTGATGTTTGTGGAGGGGGTGAATATTGCTAAGTCATCAACAGTTTTTCATTTAGGGTGAGTCGTGTGCAAGTAGCCCATGAGCACAGTGAAGCAGCGAAGACATAAGCTTTCCTAGTGATAAAGCAAACAGGTTTTGTATCTTATTTTTTTATCAGATGTAAAAGTTATGCATAAATTTTTTTGTTGTTTTTTAGTAACTGTCACGTAAGGAAAAGTCTCAGCTTTCTTAAGCAGCCTTTCAGAGGCACAGTGGCTCAGGAGCGAAAGCTGACTGGCCTAACCTACTGAAAAGATCCTGTCCTTGATCATCTTCACCCATCCTGCAGTCCTCCCCACAGAGGAACCACACTGTTGTATTCTAGTAATTCACTGTGATTTATAGTAAGCCAGAGGTGTCATTCTATTGTGCACTTTGTCAAACCTCTCACATGACTTTAATAAGCTTAGTAAATTTGCTGGCTACATCAGGGGTCTGCTAGTGGTTGATATAGTGCACGATATTTTCCTTTTCAGTTTGACATGTAGAATCATTTTTACTTTTATGACAACTGACAGTCTTAATAGCTCAGTTGATTTGAAACTAACAATATAACTATGTAAAAGGTAAAATGGTATTTGTGTTCAGTAAATGTTTAAAAAAAAAAAAACAGCCAGGCACCAGTGGCTCACACCTGTAATCCCAGTTACTCAGGAGGCTGAGATCTGATAGTTCAGATTGAGGTTCAAAGCCAGCCTGGGCAGGAAAGTCTGTGAGACTCTTATCTCCATTGACTACCAGAAAATCGGAAGTGAAGCTGTGGCTCAAGTGGTAAAGCCCTCGCCTTGAGCTGAAGAGCGCAGGGACGGCATGCAGGCCCAGAGTTCAAGCCCCACAACCAACAAAAATAAAATAAAGTAAAATAAACAAAAAAGTCAGGCCATACAGAGCTAGGTATGGTGGTGTAATTCCAGCTCATGATTGGAAGAAAAAACCAAAGAGAGAATTGTGGTGCTAGTAAAACCTAGGCAAAAATTCTACTACAACTCACAGCTAGCTTTCATGACTCATGGGACCTTGCATTCAAGCCCGACTTAAAAAAATCAACACAAAGACATAAATACACAATTATAGAGGCAGTCAGGAAAAAAAACAAGTGCTGTTTCAAAACAAGGAAAAGTTTGGAAATATTTTTATATTACTTTTAACAAAGGGAAATATTACCAAAGTGGTTTTCTTTTCATCCTTTGAATAGACCTTTTAGAAAATACTATGCAATTATTTGCTAATGTTTGATCAAGCATCAGTAATTTTCTTTAACATGAGTTCTCTTATTTCTGGAAGAAGTATTTGCTAATTTTCAATTTTTCAAAGGTTTGTTATGTTCAAATGATTTAAAATGTCCAAGAAGTAAAGGACACTTTGTCTTATAAGACATAGATGGATCTGAATATTTATAAAACTGTAGGACTGAGAAAAAGTAAAACAAGGTTCACCTAATCACCTAATACTAATAAGAAAGTAGAACAAAACTTGATTGTTTATATCCTAAATTTTCCCTGAATGTGTGTGTATGCGCACACGCATGCACACACATGTGCACACATGTGCATATCATGACATGGGAGGCTGGGGATGTACTTCCATATATGAATACTTGCCTAGCATGTGTAAGGACCTAGGTTTGGTCCTCTGTCTGTGTGTATGTATATGCATATATATGTATATATGCATATACATATATGTACATATACATGTATATATATATATATATATATATATATATATATATATATATATACCATAGAGTTGTAGATTTATGGAACATCAGAGAGAGTACACAGCATTATTTTTTCCCTTGCTTTTGTTTTTCTTTTAAATGTAAGAATGAGAAGGTATTTGAAGGGCTGGACATGTGGCTCAAGTGGCAAAACATTTATCGACCAAGTTAAGATCCTGGTTTCAATCCCTAGTACAGACGGACAGACAGACAGAGACAGAAAGACATAGAGAAGCAGGAAAAGCAGTACCTTCACTTTTTCTCAACTCAGACCACCTGAGGGAGAAAGGGCCTTCAGAACTGTTAAAAAGTCAAAGAACAAGTGGTTGGAGACACAAATGGCTGGAGAGCCTGGGCAGGCCAAAGTCTGGGGTTTTATCACGGCAAATACTCAAAGTCTGGTTTCCATTGTTTGAGGCAAGTAAGTAAAGGTTCTCTTGAGAACCAAAATGGTAATTCACATACTTACACTATTCACGAATTTACATTAGTAATAATACATTTTACTCTTTACAAAGCTATTCTCATTTCTATCACTCTTACTATATTTAGACACCTTCATTTAACTCACAACATTGTCATTTGCTTAAATAAGTGATAGAGTTACTCGTGTAGAGTTAAATAGAGCTCATATTAAACTAAGAGAGAAACTGTGCTGTCCTAGTTCTTTTTGTAATACTGGGGATGAATACTGGGAAAAGCCTCAGGACCCCTCTGTCTAAATTGTAGCTAGAATGTTGAGGAAGCAAAATTATTCTTCTATGGGGCTGACTAGTCTTGCCATTCCAAGCTTCCTAGATCTATTTTTGTAAGTTGGTAACAATGATTCTCTTACCAGCAGGGCTTTTGGAGAATTTTGATTCAAGCCTTGTTAATTCTTGGTGTTCACTGCTAGTGGGTGACTCCTCAATCGATTGTGCTTTTGGAGTCAGAACTTCTGAGTAAGAGTGGAATCCATTATTTGGACTAGAACCAGAAGGTGGTTGTGTTTCATTTTTTGTCACACTTGGACTTGATCTTGACTCATGAAAAGGTAAAAGCTTTCTGTGAGAGGGCTTCAGGTCCTCCAGAAATCCATATGTGTCCTCTATCTCTTCTGTTCCATTCTTCAACTTGTCAGATTCTAAAACACTAAATTCTCCCACTTCCCTGCCATGAATGAGTCCAGAACTCTGGGGAAGTTCATCCTTTACTGCAGAGAATCTCACATGCTTTAATGGCTCCAGTGAGCATGAGGACGAATCATCTTCTAAAGACAGGTCTTTCTCAGAAATTCTCTCATGGATGGTTAAGCCAGGTGACACAATTTTGGTTCGAGGTTCAAATGTGTGATTTAGGCGAAGAGTTTCTGAGTCTGTACTGCTGGAGCTAGAATTGCGTTTGAGAATCCCTCTTGGAACTGCTTTGGCATTCAAGGAGTCTGTCCTTTGTCTAGGAAAAGGCTGGTTATCATCTTGCTTAGAACCATTGGATTTGTAGATCAATTTTCTGGCTTTAGGGATTGGAGCTTTGCCTTGAGGCCCACTCACAGGCCCTTCTGGCAAGGGATGCTTTGGCTTCTCTAACATTTGGCTTGAAATATCTTGAGTAAATGGCTTTTCTTTTGACTCGAACAATTCACCTGAAAATTAAAACATATGAGGTCACACTATATTAATTGGAGAGCAACTCTACAATCTAAAATCCTTATAAATTTAGCCTATATGTAGTTTAAAAATACTAAAATATTAAAGATAGTAAAGTAAGTAGTATAAATGCAGCCCTCATAAGAAAAGCCTTTAAAAAATCATACACTGGTATTAGAGGCATGGCTCAGGTGATAGAGTGTTAGCCAGTGAGCAAAAGTGTCAGATCAAGAGTTCAAATTCTGGTTTCAGATAGAAAGAAAATCATAAACAGAGGCATAGAGGACTTTTTAGGACAATGAAATGAATTTTTAGGATACTACAGTGGTAAACACATGTCACATCTTTTTCCAAACTCATGAAGTACATAACACCAATAATGATCCTTTCTAGAAACTATTGACTTTGGTGACAGAGATGACAAAGGAGCTCATCAGTTACAGTAAACATATTCAACTGTGATGTTAGTAATGGGAGAGACTATCCATGTGTGCAGATAAGAGTATACAGGGCAGTGGTACTCAGTAAATACCATGTGGAAAATGAACTATACAACTTGTCAATGGGGATGGGAAGGGACAATGGGAGAGAGAAAAGGAAAAGGTGACACTGCCCAAAAAGAAATGTACTCATTACCTGACTTACATAACTGTAACCCCTCTGTATATTACCTTTATAATAACAATTAAAAAAATTTAAAAATTAAAAGAGTGTATATGGATAATGTGTATACTTTCTGCAAGTGTTGTAAACCTACTGGTCTAAAAAATAAAGACTACTAAAAAAGTCTACTTAATTGCACTGCAGATAGATTGCAAATTCAAGATTTCTGTGTTTGAAACTGATTGATGGTATACTTTAGGGAGGAGTAGCAATGGTATAACTCCTGTGAATAACTAATGAACTGTTTAACAAAATGAATACCAGAAAACAGAAACATGTTGGGCAGGGGACAATGATGCAGGGAATACAAATGAAGGGAGGAAAGGTAAGTAAATACAGTCATTATATTTAATGTTCATTGTAAGGGAAAATAGAATTGGAAGGGGAAAATGGAGGGGAATAGAACTGTAAACTCTTTGTACAGCTACTTAACAATAAAATTGAAAAAAGAAAAATATTATTATGTTTGGTTGGGCACTGGTGGCTTATGACTAACTCTAGCTACTTAGGCTCCTGAGATCTGAGGACCATGGTTCAAAGCTAGCCCAAGCAGAAAAGTCTATGAAACTCTATCATGAACAGCAAAAAGTCAACTGGAGGTAGGGCTCAAGTGGTAGAACAAAAGAACAAAAGCCATGAATTTAAATTCAAAGGCCAGTATGGGCACACATTGTATTTTAATTTACTTTGTAGCATTTTATACTCAATACAAAAAGTGTTTTTAAAAAACCTAAAAAGAGGGGCTGGGAAGGTGGCTCAGTGATAAGAGTGCTTGCCTCGCATGCACGAGGCCCTGGGTTCGATTCCTCACCACCATATAAGCAGAAAAAGCCCAAAGTGGCTCTGTGGCTCAAGTGGTAGAGTGCTAGCCTTGAGCTGAAGAGCTGAGGGACAGCGCCCAGGCCCAAAGTTCAGGTCCCACGACCGAGCAAACAAAAACAAAAACAAACCAAAAAAACCTAAAAAGAAAATTTCTCAGTTAGGCACCAATGGCTTACGCCTGTAATCCTAGCTACTCCAGAAGCTGAGATCTGAGGCTTGCAGTTCAAAGCCAGCCCAGGCAGGAAAGTCTGTGAAAGTCTTAATTCCTTAACCACTAAAAAGCTGAAAAGGTGCTGTGGCTCAAATGGTAGAGTGCTGGCCTTGAGTGAAAGCTCAGGGATAGTGCCCAGGCCTGACAAGCCCCAGGACTGGTGCGCGCACAGACACACACAGACACACACACAGACACACACACAGACACACAGACACACACACACACACACACCCAGAAAGAAAGAGAGAGAGAGAGAGGAAGGGAGGGAGAGAGAGAGAGAGAGAGAGAGAGAGAGAGGAAGGGAAGGAAGGAGGGAGGGAGGGAGGAAGGAAGAGAAGGAAGGGAAGGAGAGAGAAATATTTATCAAAAATGCTTTAAAAAACACAGAAATCACTTTAAAAATTCATGCATTTGAATCCTAAAAGGCAACTCAATTTTTTAAAAAAGAAAATCTCAGTACCTAAGACAAAAAATTTTGTCAAAAAGTTAAAAGCAAACAGGTAACCAGTTCCAGTGATTTTTTTTCCTACAAAATATTTTATGTACTATACAGTGTACCCAATGGAAACTAGATTAATGTTAAAACAGGCTAATTGAAACCCTTCACCATATTACTCAATTGTTAATTTTCTACCCCATGGCTACCTTCTCATAGTTCTTTTTAAAGAGATGAAATTATCTACTATTTCCTTTTAATAGTTTGTAAGAACTATAAAATTCCCTTAGAGGCAAACTAAAATCACTTAAGCCGTGAAATTATTCCAGTGCTCCTGGGCAAATGTGCTGGTAATTACAAATTAGAAGATCTTTGTCAAGTAGCCTGTTCTTTTTGAGGCAAACTTTAAAAAAAAATTTCTTTCAACCTCTGTTAATTTTAAACAGACAACTGTGTTAGTATGTGGTATGTATCCAACAAGTACTATTAAGACTTTGGTTAAGACAGGCTTTGGTTAAAAAACTTCCCTACTCACTGCTGAAGGATTCCAAGGCACGGAGGTCACAAAGCAAGTGGCAGCTCCGAGATTTGGAAGACACGAAGATCCAGTTTCTAACATTTCTCTTTTCCCAATGGGCACAGAAGGATAAGAAAAGCATCAGGACTTTTCACTTTCTCTGAGAAGTTATTTTAGTGAAAAGAACTCTGACAATTTCCCTCATCCACAGATAACAACCATAAAAATATGTAGTCCATAAAAATAATATTTACCCTCTTTTGAAATCTGAAATAAACCAGCTCTTCCATTTTTTGACTGCTCATTTTTGGTTTGTTGAGATAAGTGATCTTCTGGCAACTTAGAGTTATTAAATGGATTCTTCCTTTGCTGGGAAAAAATATTGTTTATTAAACAGTTTAAATGTCATAACAACAACTCAGCATTAGCATATGCTTATCATTTCTTCTATTTGCTAGATTACCCAGTCAATTCTATCATCTGGCATGTTTGAAAAACAAAAACTGATTAATCTAGTTAGCACACAATTATCACACTCTTAAGAAGTTCAGAAACAGGAATTCAAATAAAAATTTCACTTTTTACAAGTAAGGACAGAATGTCTCCCTGGATATGTCAAGTCAAGGTCAAGGCAAGCCTGGGCCTCTACAAATCAGGTCAGATTCCTACCAGGGCTCTTTCTACCACACCAGGCACTATGCTAGATTATAATTGTATGCAATTTGTGATTGACTTTTTATTAAGGATTTAGGAGACTCTTCAGTTATCTTGCAGTACTTCTTAGACATTATTACGGTCAATTCTAATAATAGAAAGAGAACTAGCAGAGTATAGGCTTTTGTTTTGCTTGTGGTGCTTAAGTTTAAACTCAGTGCCCAGTAGCTGCAGTCAAATGCCCTGCTACTCAAGCCAGACCCCTCGCCCTTGTTTTGTTTTGCTGATCTTGGAATCCTCCCATCTCTGCTTGCTTCCCCAGTGTTAAGCTTAACCACGTGTGAATAACCATGACCAATCCGAGGTGTTCTTTTTTTTTTTTAGTTATCTTTAAGTAGCTATAGAAAGGAGTTGTCTTTTAACAAAGCAGTTTAGGAATACAATGCATCATGATCAATGTTACCCCTTTCAACATTTTTTTTTTGGAGTCAGGGTCTGGCTATGTAGCCCAGGCTGACCTCAAATTTATCATTCTCCTGCCTTTAGGGATTTTTTTTTTTTTAGATTAGTATGACTAAATATCCCTTCAAAATGCCTATGATCTCATAAATTGGTGAATTCCTCACAGAAGCAGATATCTAACAGAAATTCACAGAAATATCTAACAGAAATTCAGAAAGCCACATTACATGTGCTTAAATTTTTTTTTTTTTTTTGGTTCAGTTGTGGGGCCTGAACTCTGGGCCTGGGCGCTGTCCCTCAGGTCTTCAGCTCAAGGCTAGTGCTCTACCATTTGAGCCACAGCGCCACTTCCGGCTTTTTTCTTTTTGCTTATGTGGTGCTGAGGAATCAAACCCAGGGCCTCATGCATGCAAGGTAAGCTCTCTACCACTGAGCCACCTTCCCAGCCCCACATGTACTTAAATTTAACCCCACCAAATAGCTTCTGATGTTTTACTCTCTCGGGCAAGAAATCTGGGCCTTCAGCAATGAACGTAGTCTTGATCAGTTTTCTTTTGGTGGCAAAAAATACTGTCTTATAGTAACTAATTATCAATAGCTAGTATCACAAAAACTAACACAAAGTTCTCTTCATGTCTTGGTGCTTGAATAAAGTAAAAAAAAAAAAAGACATTCCCATTTAAGATAAGAGTTTTGCAATGTAGCATATCTACCTTGGCTGGAGAAACGGTGGATTCCCTTGTGTTTTCCTGGGATGCATCAATGGCAGTGGAGGCTGAACTCATTACACAGGAACTGCAAAAGAAACCATTCAGAAAATACCATCTCATCCCTTGAGAAGCATCAATCAAGCCTCATAAAGCAAGCCTTCAAAAGCTTTAGTGTATGACGGGAAAGAAAGTTTGTAAAAATGGAACTGCCAGGAAGAGAAAAGGAGTTAGGGCCTAGAAAAATTAAGCACCAAAACAAAGGAAATGGCAGAACAGAAAAGATAAGCATGAGAAAAAGAAAAGGAAAAAAACAAAAACAAGAAACACCCCTCTGGAGCCTTGATGCTATGACCAGAGTGCATAGCACATCAGAGGTTTACAATTTAAATTTCAGAAATTCATCTCAAAGTCAACTGCTAAGATCAAATGCAGGCCAAAAAAGTGAGTACTTGATTAAAGAAATAAAACCCCACAGAGGGTCCAATTCCATAAGGCAAGGCAAGGCAAAAATGGCAGCACTTACTCAACTCAGGCAGGAAGTAACCAATGAAAAAGCTCAAGTGTGACCAATGACTTGGCAAAGGGACAGAAAGCAGATCAGAGATACATTACAAAAAAGATGGTGGTGGGGCAACTTCCTGGGACTTTTCAACCCTGCTGAGTTCTTATTCAAATACAGAACAATGACAAAAAGAGCTTCTGGAGGATTGTGGGAAAGCTTAGGACCCCAGAGCTAGCCTAGTGTGGTAGAGTCTCTAGACTTGCCTTGGGTGGCTCCAGGGGAAGAGTAAAACCACAGTGAATGGAGAAAGATGAGTTCAGCAGGCCCTTTCCCAAGGAACTACTCCCTTTAAGAGGAAGAAGGGCAGGAGAGGGTCATAGAGGCCCTGGAGGGGAGGAAAAGGAACCTGCTCATCAGACTGCCTACTCTAAAGCCTTGCCTCAGGCCCAAGAGATGAAGTCACTGTTGGCTGAAACCTCTGTTCCGGTTAAATACCATCAGTCTCAGTGACTTCAGTCTAGAGTTTGGAAAATACTTGGGAAGGTGCTGGCTTTTCCTCACATTGGCAGAGGAAACAAAGAAAGCTGGGGAAAGGAAGCAGTGTTCTCCAAGGTCATGGAACGGTGCCCAAGATTATTGTCACTAAATTCAACATGTTCCTGCAGCTGCATTTCTCCCCCTTACTTTGTATATTAACTGCTGCTTTTGTACAGTTAGTCCCGGGAAACAGCTGAACTCTTTAAGAAAGCCATTCTTTCTTTCATTGCCCTCTTCATTGTTTTTAGCAAGGAGTTAATTTTAGCAGATGAGGTATGAAATATAGCCTGATCATCTGGAAGCAAAAATAGGAGGATGGAAGGAGGGAGCTGAGAACACAGAGGAAATTAAAATGGAGCCAAAATTTGGACAGAAAGATAGAATAAGGAGTCCTCTATGCCTGCAATAGGTGAGCATAAACTTATGTTATCTTGAGACAAAGGGGAGAAAGAAATGGTCATCGATAGAATTCAGATGTCCTAGTCAATAGCTCAGAACTAAAAAGTAATTTCTCTCAACTGTCATTTTACAAAGCCAGTGGGTAATAATGGAGAACATCCTGATAGAAGATGTTATGTTCAGTTTCTCAGAAGGTTTTGTTTCATCTCCCTTAGTAAATAAAACATTAAGACCTGAGCAAAACACCACTGACTGGGGTCTCCATGTAACATCCATATTCTCCTGCCATCTTCTTCCTCTGTCTTTCTGTCACTCTAACCCCAAAGGATAGGCAACACTTCTATGGTCTTCTCCCAATGTTCCCTGGAAATCAGTTCCTGTTCCCTTTGATGCCAGCCTCAATTGTCCATGTTGCATATGATTTTCATACTTCTTATTAAAGGTGAAACCAGTCTTCCCCTTACTGAACTCTGCTCAGCAGTGTATTTCATGCCTATTAAGTGATTCCTAGTCTCTGTGCCTGTTTTATCACTCAAGATAAACTGGAAGGTTTCTCCAGAGACTCTCCATCACTGTCATACACAGTTTCTTGTACAGCGCCAGGTACATAACTGGTGAGACTAAATGAATGAAAGTCAACTGATCCATTGCCAGGAAATAAAGCAGCAGGCAGGTGGTTGAGTTTTGTTTCATTTTGTTTTGAATCCATAATGTTTGCCAAACTACAATGGGGGCAGATTATTCAGATGTTAAGCAAAATGTCTTCCAGCTATTCAGAAAAAAAGAAAGAAAACACAACGCAGTCAGAACTTAAGGGCAGTCACTAAAAATCAGAAATGGCTCAGTATCATTGGGTACCTTGTGCTTGGGGTAGGAAGGAAATGATTTAAAGGTGGGAAAGTTGGTTAGCTAAAATTCACAGTCAGCCTTGAAAAAATTAAACCAATCTCTGTCCCAAAATGTAGCTACTTCTTAGTAGCTTTGCTTCTCTCAAGGAATATTATGATGCTTTGCTTGCCTATTATCAAAGGGTCAACAATTACTGCAGCATCCATCCTACTCCAAATTGCTTGCTCTTGCAACATTTATGAGGTGTGTATCATTCTCCCAATTTTACTTCTAAGAAAACCCTGGCTTGGAGAAGTAAAATAACTTGCTCAATATAACAAAATTCATTAGTGAAAGTGACTCTCACTATATCCAAAGCCAAAGGCAAAAATGGTAAGGGCTTGACTATACTGGCTCTGACTTCTTGCATTGTTGCAACAGTGGTTTATGACAAAAAGACTAGAGACAAGTCCAGGCGATGTTTCCTTACCAGTGACTCTCACATCTGCATCTCTTCTTTCTCCTTAGTAACACTGATTTCTGTCAACTTTCATATCAGGCTTCCTGAAAGTTCCAGTTCCCTAATCCATTTTCAACTGCTAAACTAGAATAGTTCAGGGGCTGTGAATGTGGCTGAGTGGTAGAGTGCTCACCTAGCATGCATGAAGCCCCAGGTTCAATTCCTCAGTTCCACATAAACAGAAAAAGCCAGTAGAGTGGTGGCTCAAGTGGTAGAACACTAGCCTTGAGCAAAAGAAGTTCAGGGACAGCAACCGGACCCTGAGTTCAAGCCCCAGGACTGGCAAAACAACAACAACAACAACAACAAAAACCTGAATAGTTCAAAACCTAACTTGAGCCACATCCTCTTTCTACTTACTAACTTTCCCTGAGGCTGTAAGGTCTGTGGAATGAAGTCTGAACTCTGCAGAAAGGCACATCTGTCCCCGTAACTTCCTACTCCTTTCTGTTAAGCCTTCATGTTATATGATGTATCTATTTCCACTCCCAGAAACTCACTGACTTTTTGCTTGTTCTACTTGACCTGTTTCCCAGCCCTTCTCCCTGCCTAAATCATTCCTATTATCTTCAAACCCAATCCAAATCTCATCTTGTACACCATACTGATGGAAATGAATCTTTTTTTGTCTCATTATGACATGTTTTGTTGGCACTTTGAATTATGAATTTGTTTTAGGACTAGAACTGTTTGCTGTAATATGGTCAGATTTATGTGTGTGTGTGTGTGTGTGTGTACTTTTCCTTAGAGAATATACTACTCTTTTTATGGCTAAATACTATGTTCTTTGTTTCTTAGAATTCTTCCTAAAGGGGAGTAGACTGTGTCCAAATATAATCAATGCATGCCACATGATGAGATTTTTAAACTATGAAGTAAGCACAATTCCATACCTTGTGCTTTGTAACTTCCTTCCCTCAAGCACTTTTCAAAAAGGGCCTATAATATTAGAAGTAGCATGGACAAAATTAGTTTACTTCATTAAAAATTATTAAAATATTAGACAGTGATCCTGCTTATGCAACAAAAATGTCTTCAAGTATTTATTTTGGAATCTGTGGTTGTTCTCACCTTATACCAATACCCTGTACCTAGTGCTATCACACAACAAATGAAAAAATGGCTTGGGGATGAATAAAGGAAGCAAATTAAAAAATAAACTATGTCAAGTCAGTATTGTTTTCTTTTTTGTGCTGATACGGGGGCTTAAACTCAGACCTTGTGCTCTCACATGATTTTTTTACTCAAGGTTGGCTTGAGCTACAGCTCTACTTCTTCAAGTCAGTATTATTGTTTGTTGTTGTTGTTGCTGCTGTTATTATTTGCTGGTTCTGAGGCTTTAACTTAGGGCCTAAGTGCTGTCCCTGAGCTTTATTGCTCAAGGCTAGTATTTTATCATTGGAGCCACAGTTCCATTTCTAGCTTTGTGTGTGGGTGTGTGTGTGTGTGTGTGTGTGTGTGTGTGGTTAATTGGAGAAAAAAAGTCTCACAGACTTTCCTCCCTGGGCTAGTTTCCAACCATGATCCTCAGATTTTAGTCTCTTGAGTTGGTTGGATTATAGGCATAAGCCACCAGTGCCCAGTATGTCAGTATTGTTTTTTACTTATGGCCATTATTTTTACTCATGGGCAGTCCAGGGCTACCACAGTTCATGCTATACATCTGTCAAACTCAAACAAGCTCTCCCGTCCAAGTATGGGACATTTTGATGGCACTATGAAACTATTCCTACTACAACTGGTTTGAGGAAATCTGAAATCTAGTAAGATTCAATATTCACTTAAGAGCTCCATCCAAATGATTATCTGAGCCAGGTCTCCTAAAAAGTGAAATCTTCAAATGGATTTGCTATCTATCCTGGGGGGAAAATACCAAATGCACTGTTTTGTCAAATTGACTCATCTGTACTCTGCCTTTGAGTGCAAACTACTAGTCCCTTTTACTGGTCTTATTACTGGGAGTAAAACAAGTAGCTAATTCTTCTGCTAGAAGACAGCCATAAATAATCTTTTTAATGTATAAAAAATGAGCATTATTGGAAAAGGAGTATTATTGGAGAGCTAAAGTTGTGAATTGATTGATTCTCATTCAACAGAGATAAGAAGGAGATTGGTGGCTTAAGTATCACCAAAACACAGACAAATGAAGTTCTGATTAGCATTTTGATTCACTACACTGACTTACAAAATAATGTTTGGTTCTATCCAAAACAAAGCTAGAAGGAAATGTACAGTTTTGCTCACAAGGAAATACCTCATTTTCCTACCATTTCACAGGCAAGTGACCAGAAGAAAACCA